CCCTAAAAGTATTTTATTAATAATTATTATAACTAGATGCTGTGAATTTGTTAATTAGTACCTATATAAAGTATCTACCAGAACGGCGAACGCTTGTTGACATTTATTGATGCATATCTCATTAATTAGTAAATAGAAAAATAATTAGTTCTCTTTGATAGTAATACCAAAGAATCTTGAATTAGTAATTTTGTAAACAAAAATAAATTTTAAATAAATACGTCATATAATTTTTTCTTAAATATCTTCTGTGTTAATTACAATTTTAATATATCTATAATCTATTTTTCATAACAGTATAAAACAAAAACGTTTCCCGCTGTTTGTACGCTTAGATCTTTTAAATTATTTATTAGATTTTATTACAGTTTTCATCAATAGATAATGATTTTACACGAGAAATATTTATAGGTATAGTTTAATACTGTTTTATATTAATGCTGTTTTAAAATAATTGAAACGATCAAGTTGAATAAGAGCTTACATTGAAAACGCTGCCTTATCCCTTTGAAATATAACAAAACAATGGTGGGATTGTTTTTTTCTATAGGTCTACAAGAAATTCTGCAGTGGTATATACATCTATCTTTTAAGGATAACTTACTATACCCTTCTAATTCATACTCACTGCAATAAGCTGATGTAATAAATGCAAGCATATATGCTCTACTGTCCGTTCCATAAATTCAGGGGGGGGGGGGGCTAGTTAAAATTTGAATACGCTAATCTCTAGAACTACCACTCGAATTTAAAAAATTCTTTTTTATCTGACATCTCGTTTCTTGAGGATAGATGACGATACAACTACGATTAAAGCCGCATCATACAATTAGTGTACGTATATAAATATAGATAATTGTAAATTATTGGTATGACCGTATTATTTCGTCGCGTGTCACCACTGGCACGCGTGCCATTGGTTCGCCATCCCTGTCAATTATCGTCTATCTACGAGTACGTACTAAATTTCAATAAAATTCGTTCAACCGTTTGATCATTATTAAGCAACGAACAATTTCCGGTATTCCAGAACATGTGCCTTTAATAAAAATATTTACCTATGTAAATATCATACATTTACTAACTGACCCGTCAAACGTTGTTCTACCATATAAATAATTATATGGCAAAAATAACCTATTTCTTTTACCTACCAAATATACATAAAAATTTTCGTAAAAACCAGTCAAGCCATTTCAGAGGAGTTCGATCACAAACATCGTAATATAAGATTTTTATATATAAATTTATATAAATTATTAACTACTGATTTAGATGCGACCAATCGATACAAATATTAGAAATTCACTCTCAGAAACTTGCTCGGACCGCTTTTGGGTTCGTAATTGGTATTTTGTATACACTTTAAACCCTTAGGTGTTTTGGGCTAATAGTAAGTCGAACCCTTCGCATTATTCAAATAAATAAACCGCTTTGATAACAATTGCAAAACCCTGAATAGCTCAAAACTTTGTTTAGAAATAATAAAGTAGCGACAATTTAATGAAATTCGTACAAATTAAAAAAGAAACTAATTAAAGAATAAAATTCATAAAAAGTTCATTTATGAATTTTATTCTAAAGCCGTAAACTTAAGCTATCTTTAATTGAAAATACTCTAACTACTCAGTTATGAGCAGTTCATAATAATTTTGAATTAATATTCTCTGTAAAGAAAACTCAAAATAAAACCCTAAATCTACCAAGCCACCTGGTCAGCTTTGTAATAGTAGACTGTAACTCCCTCTCGTGAGAAGAGAGCCATGCTCAGCAATAGGACGTTAATGGTAATAAAAGTACTGTCTTCCACTACATGATTTGAACTTAAATTTTTCTAACTCGATGAACTTCATCACATATGTTATATTATTTCAGACAATTACGTTATAACGGAACGATAACTACGCTACCGTTAAACGCTGGCAGGACACCAGTGAAATGATATATAGTATAAAGATTGATCAGTTGGCCCATCGTGACGAAATCGCCAAGAATTAAACACGATTATTTCAAAGGGTAATCACTTAGAGATCAACATGATAAAATATATTGCAAGCAATTCTGTTTCCCTCATCACATCACCTCATTAAAGTAAAAATAAATATATTTTAATTATATATATAAAACTCGAAATGAAATCGAGTTGCGAAGTACCGACGTTTGATAGAGCCGAAGGGTTAAAGTCAAATTATATTCTCGTTTGAATTACGCAAAAGGTTCCTTTAGTAATATAGTAGATAGTAATTACTTTACCCTATATATATATATATATATATATATATATATATATATATATATATATATATATATTAGGTATATAGTACTATAAGAATATACATATCTAATTTTATAATAGAAATGGTGTATTTGATATATATATGTCTGTGTGTGTGTTTCTGTATACATACTACACATGTACATTTGTTATGATTTACATATATTTTAAAATTCTATTAATATTATAAATGCGAAAGTTTGTAAGGATGGATGAATATCTATTATATTATATATTTCAAGACAAATCATCATAAATGAGCTACTGTATTATTTTCTGATACCCCTGTTCTATTGGAAAAAACATATTTCTATTCAATCACAAATAAAGTTTACTTAAATGCATAGCATTTCAGGAATTATAATATTGTTATTTGCCTAAAATACTAAACGTCATTATGACGTCAGTATCACGATAGTGAGTGTTAGTATTATATAAGAATCTAAATATACAATTGAATGTGCGCCAAATGGGTTAAATGAGATTTGCAAAAAAAAATGTGTGTGTGTGTGTGTGTGTGTGTGTGTGTGTGTGTGTGTGTGTGTGTGTGTGTGTGTGTGTGTGTGTGTGTGTGTGTGTGTGTGTGTGTGTGTGTGTGTACAGATACAGTTTATATATTATATTATAAGATTATTAGCAAACTAGTTATAACTTGCGAATATTCCTACATTAGTTGGGCTCAAAAGTGCCCTCTGTGTTAATCAAGTCCGTATAGCTCATTTGTGTATCACATTTAATTTAGTCAACTCAGACAGATAAGCGTACTTAAGTAGTAACATTCATCTATGAATTTAAACAATCAAACATGTAAAACAAATATCTAGTTGTATGATATTTAATATCTATCTTCCTACTACCTTACCTATGTATAATAAAGATCCAAATTTCATTCTAATTTTACAAATTTCAATTACAATTTACCAAGAAATTTGAAAAATACAGGGGTTTTGATATTAGCTACAATAATATAATAATTATTTATTATATAACTTGAGATATCCTTATAAAGAATCCAAAATTACTTTTTCCCGAACACTACTAGTAATAATGAATATATGAGAGAACGTATGAAGACTCTGTATAACAATAAAATAAATTAATAAATTATTATTCCATTTATAATTATCTATTACAACCTTCTAGTTAGGAAATCTTGTCGCATATACAGTGTATAAATGTTCGTACAAAGTTTCACGGATATCCGGTGCGGGTGTACATAGTCCATGTTGAATAACTCCTACTCACATATTTTTAAAATACATCGATTGTGTCTAAGTATTGTATGATCGTGTAAGAATGTAGGGTAAAACTTTCGATTCTAGTTACCATATAATAAGATATTTTGACAAAATTTATTGAGTACTTTTTTTGTATTTATTCGTATACTTTAATAAGTTATTTTAAACAATTATTAAATTTTCATTTTTAATATTTCTTTTTTTAATTTAACGTGCTTAATATAATTTTATTAATGTTTTCCGCACTCGATTAATTCTATATTATATTCTGTGATGACATATCTGTGATATTGTTCATATATTCATCTTTAATTTTGTATAGTAAGTCGTAAAAGTAACCACACCTCATAAGATTTTAAGCGAAATAAATAGCTTAAATATGTTATCTATACATATTTCTATACATGATAGTAATGGTCATTACTTTCTATATTCTTTTTTTATTTATTATGTGAAAATTTTTACTACTACATTCTCCCTAGGCCTTTCACTATCGCTGATGCATATTATCTATATTTAATAAGACTGGAGAAATCCAATTTTAATTACTATGAATGAAACAAAAACCTAAATGTAATTTTAAACAAATTTCCGTTTAGATAATTTTAAAAAGATCACCAAATATACAAATATTAGGTCTGCCCAGTATCATTACTCATGTCTTATAAATCATATGTGCTTAATCTAGAGTCAACTATTTATTTAAATATCTATAAAGATTTTCAAATTATAGCTATAACTGCTGATTACAAACATAAGATTTTGAATTTTCTTATTAATTAATTAATCTTAGAATGTAATAGAGTATTAAGAATTTTTAAAATCCCTACTTAAACGGGAGATAATGATTTCAGGAAAGCGTAGCTGTATATTTCTATACCTGGCAAACAGCTGTGATAAATACATACTTATTTCTTCAGACATCTAAAAGATTTTATAAGTATTTTATGTATACATGTGAACAGTATTTATATATTTTTATGTATTTATGTAGGCGTTTATATGCATGTATGTACGTATGTATATGTGTATATATATGTGTGAGTATATATGTATGTGTGTACATGTACTACATATATATATATATATATATATATATATATATATATATATATATATATATATATATATAATAATGAGTAGGGATAATATTTATATTATTATATGTATCACATCTCCCATATTTAGAACTAACAGAATTTTTCATCGTGCCTCCCACCAAATTGTTTATAATTGCTCCTCTCCATCCAAAGGTTGCCTGGAAGAGATCGCTCTTAACGATAAGGTTAAGGCCCATTGTTTTCTCATATTGATTATTTCTTGTAATTATTTATATTTATAATAAGTTTACTGTTTTAATCTTTTGGAGGAAACAATAATGATAACAATATATCTATAACTATTCCCATAAATTGTAGAAAAAAAAAATTCCCTGATACAATATATCTTCATATTGCAATAATAATTAAAAGCTACACTGCATATTACAGATAATTAATTCAATTCCAAAAAAGGTGTGCTCGCCCTACTACTGTCATTTACTTAGTTTGATGAGTGATTAATATGTTCTGTATTATGGCAATTGAACGCAATGCGCATGCGGCGAATTTTATTATTAGCGGGACGCTTCACAAGATTACACGGGCCTACTGGCGACTTTCAGAATGAAGTAGTCTGTTCTTTTTATACACATTTACTATGAACGTACGTCGCAAAAACGAGCTCCTATCGTGGGTGACGGTCGCTATATAAGACAGAGTAATTTACGTGATAAAGTGTATAACAGAGTGAAAATGATAGGTAACGGAACTGTAAACGGTGAGTATTATCATAAAATCTTTGTATTTGTGATTTTTCAAACATTCCCAAGTACTTTTTAACAAATTATATAAGTTACAAACTATCTATATATATATATAAAACTCTATACAAAAAATTTGCTGTGACTGAAGTAATAATATATAGTATAATAATAATACTCTCATATTATATGTTACATTAAATACATTCTACTTTACATTAATTTACAAATAAATGTTATATAAAAATGTCAGAGAACTTTTAAACAAAATTATATATTTTTTCTTAACGTGAAAAAAATTTACAATATAAATTGATTTTCGTGCTACAAATTCATTAGATTTAATTTCTAATTTCTTCGAAGTTCATATTCATATATATTGATATTCATTTATTCAATAACAACCATACAATTGTGTTTGTATACTAAGCTACAATATTTTATAAAAAAAAAAATAATGAAATAAACAACAAGTTCAAATAAATTAGGTGAATAAAAGGCATCATTATTATTTTGTGATTTTAGACAGAAATAATGCTGATACGAGTATACCATACAATGTAACAGCTTTTGAAATCGGTACCTCCAAAACGTGAGTAAGTAATAATTCCCTTAATATTTTTTATATATATATATAAAAGTATGTATTAATTGAGAAATATATTTCATTAAAAGAAAAGTAAGCAAAATAAAAAAAAAATACATACCCATTTATGTATTCTTTTTATATAATAGCTTTGTCAAATTCACTTGTGTGCAATCCGTTTACCGCCATTCTCGTGACTTCCACGAAACTTTCAAGACAAGACAAGAGAAATCTCATATTTTAGGACTCAGCATTTTTGACTGCGTGTATATCTGTCAATCAGTTTTATATATAGGTACAAATAAAAGACACCAGAATTTAATTTAAACAACATTAATGAATATATGTAAATATTAATCACTATTACTGTATTCCACGGCTTAGCCCGCGTAAGTCAGTACATAAAGTATCCTATGGGCTAAGTTAGTATATAACTTACCCGTTTACCAAATTTCATTCAAATTCGTTTAGTAGTTTTTGCGAGAAAGAGTAACAAACATCCATTCATCTGTCCGTCTTTACGAACTATCGCATTTATAACATTAATAAGATTTTAAAACATATATTAATCTAAGACTTTTTATTCAGGAGTCTACCCGAAAAAGAGAAGGAAACATTGTTTACAAGATTGGTGAAACGCGCCATTCCTTCGATTTCCGAAACAAAACAATACATCGGCGTTATCATATGTGGTATGTCAATAACTATTATATTTTGTAAACTATCATTATCATCATATCAGCCTTTGTTTGTCCACTACTGAGCATAGGCCTCCCTCTTAGATTGCCAAAAGGAATAGAGCCATTTCTTATCGCAGTTTACCGTTGGGGGAATTTTGCCAGAAGTTGCCATGCTTGGCAGGTGAGATAACCGCAATTTGGCGTTTGGCGATATTTTAAAAGGGACGCTGCTGCCTATCCCTCGACTATTAAGTTCCCATAGCCCCTCTTACAATACCCACGAGGAAGAAAGGGGTAACCTACTGTATGCCGGGACCATACGGCAAATATTTTTTACAACTATATCTTTGCTATATCCAACTATATACCAAATCTTATAAATTGTTTTAATAATATTTTTTTCAATGTAATTTCATTTAATAAACTATTAAAAATCATAAACAAATAACATCGGACATTCTTAATATAAATATAAAAAACTTACATATAAATATGAAAAACTAAACTAACAAAGTGCAAACAAATACAAGCACTCATATTATATTTGTACCAACTTACAATCATCAAAATATGAAGTAATATAACTAAACACCTTAGAAATATAGCATTATACTAAATGCATGTTGATAAACTGGTAACGTTAAAAATTCTAATTTTAAATAAAAGGAAAAAAAAATTCTAAATTCATTGATTACAAAATCGATACCAGAACTTATTTACACTCACAGGCAATTTCTTGCAGCAAGGTACTTTTTAGTATATATGGTCAGCACTCAATTAACTAGAACAACTACAGTCAATAATAGTTAGTAGGAACTTGACTGTAAGGACCAATCTCAGATGAAGTGTAAAATTCAATAGAAAATTGGCAAATGTATGTCGGTGAATTGTCTTCATTCCTTTTCTCGTCTCTCAGGACCTTCTAGGAGTTAACACATTGTCATTTTATTCCGATAGCATCCAAAATATGAAGCCTTTTACCTTAATATGCCATATTATTTTAATGATCTATATCAGTGGTTTTTCTGCTTCCACTAAAGTTAATCGATAAACCAAAATTCCAAAACGTATTGATTGACTAATAAATAACAATAAACAGTCGAAAATATACTAGACTTAAAATAAGGAGTCCCATAAAAAAATAGCTGAGTACAACAGAGGACTTTAGCCTTCTCACAGTGGAAAGTGTGCATTATGTCACAAAAAAAAGATAACTGAGTGTGCTTTAAAAAAAAGACACGGTAGAAAAGAAACGGCATTTATTCAGTAACACAATAAATTACTTGTACGCAATTATAACATATAAGATTAAAAAGTGTACCAACTGATAAGTACCTAATACTTCCGTAGAGGGGGGAAAAGATTGTTAATAATGCGGATTACCAGTCCCATTGCTAGCTATATACTTTGTCAGGTTGACCTGCACGCAGTCCCCCCAGGAAACCATCGTGCTGAATTCCAGGTATATTCATCACGATGGGCTAATTGACCTGCATTTTCATTCTTACCTACCATCCTTCACTGGTGCGTGTGGTTCCATTAGCGTATACCGTTACCGCGGGCGAGGTTACCATTCCATTATCATCAATTTTAAAAAATGAAATATTTTTTAAAGAGTAAAAAGAGAGTAGAGTAAAAAAATTAAAAATAGTACATTTTCTCAATCAAATACGAGACAGTATTATAACCATCATCTTCTTCTTCTTCTTCTCAGTCATTATCTGTCCGCTGCTGAGTATAGACCTACGAGACAATATACGAGTATTAAATATGTCTCAAATTGAGATGTCAATAACTATAGTTCCATAAAATAACCACATCATTTAAATTTAAATATTAACAATATTTCTTACTATTTTTCTTTTTTTACGTACAAAGATCTTTACTAAATTGACATACTTATTTATCATCAAGGACAAAATAACCTTGTTTATTTTTTTCAAAATCATGAATTACGGTAGATACAGTCAATGTTTTTACTTGCATTTATTAACGCACATGTTTTAAATACTATCACATACTTATCTTAACCGTCCTCTGTTTAATATAATTTATAATTTGGAAGTTGTTTCGAACAGAGGATAAGCAAATTACTCGTATCATGTAATGTAATGTTACATGAATTACTATACCTAAATAAAAAATAATATGTATTACGCACTCATTAGATTCTGTATAAGTTATTATAAAATTTTACTAATTAAACTCCGTTATATATTATAATTTATTAATACTAATTATTTATTGATGCTCCAAATTTATTCAGCAGTCTAGGCACCTAGTCAGCGATCTAGACCATTTATTTCTATCGGTTTCCCCACAAGTATATAAGAGTGATATTTTATACCACCTATATCTACTCGTATCATTGAAGCAGGAATACGGATAATAGGAATAAACGTGATGATAGTAAGTAATTACCGCCTTTCGCGGGAAGATCTGTACCCAGTAGGGGTTATTTATTTTTCCATACTTTTTTTCTATGCCAGAAAGGCGGAAAACAAATATACAGCCTGTTTGATGGTAACCGTTTACTGTAGCCTATATAGTTACTGACCCTGAAGAAATTCCTGTTCCTGTATAACTTAAATGGGTTGCAATATTTTAATAGAGAGGGCATCTTAGACTACTTTTATTCTAGTATTTCCCAGTTATGCGTATGCAGGCACTAGTGAACACTGGTAATATGTAGATATCAGTAGTGTTAGTTCAACTCCTTACTAGTCGCTGGTTTTTGTTATAAATAAATTTACTAGGAACTAGGATCCAGAAGATGTATACTCACTTAGATAAGAATTTAAATGAAAATAAAATGCCGTGTATTGATGTGTATATATTGTGTAAAAGCACAAAAGAACATTCAACGAAACAAAAGAAAAACAAAAAAGTATATTACAATAATGAAATACTTCGTATTACGCTTTTGTTCGTGTTAAATTTATTGTTTATTTATTGTCTATTTATTGTTTTATTATTGTTTACCCTAATTGTATATCTAATTCAGAATCTTTTTAATAAACCCGTATACGAGTACTTATTTTGTACGTTAAAATCATTTTACTTACTTTAATAAAATAGCCTGCAAATTACTTGCATAAACAGCGTACTCACGGACAATACCTATAGAACTGAGCAGTTCTAACTTATACATAATAGGAACAAGTAAGTGAAGTTTCTCCCTGCCTAACAAAAACCAATAAGGCCTTAGGAATAAGTTGAATCTTCTATAAATTTTTAATTATTAAGCACATGTCAGATGTACTTAATAATTATTCACATAATAACCCAAAATCACTCAATCATTCGTCTCTCTAATTGACGACGTAAAATAGAGTACTTATGTAGTTGTTGAAACTATTTCATTACATTAAACTAAGATTACAGTGTTGTGTTACTAATTTGTAAGAACTGTACTTCAGGCGTATAGATACTGTTTCATCTTCATTAAAAGTCACGCGCTTGGAAAATTAACTCATAGCTAAGACATCTTTATTAACTTTCATGGACTTCCAACAGCGTTGCATTCTATATTAGAGAATTATTAATAAGCTAATTTGAAGTCTCTCGTTTATTGTGTTTATACTACAATTAAGTATACCATAATATCGCAATACATATAAAATAAAAGAAGAATTCTCAAGACTATAATTTTATTACTTCTTATTCTACATATATTTCATCAGGACAACAAAAATTTCTTATAAAAAGGTTGTTTTTTATTTTTATTTTTTTTGTTTTTTTTTTCTAATTGTTCCATAAGGTTTTTAAAGGAATCCATACAGGAGTCTTTTATATTAGGCAATATTTTAATTTAATAAGATAAAGTCAAATATAATGTTAATAAATAATAACTTCTGGGTCAAATATTCCATTTTTACCCTGAAGTGAAGCTAGTTCAGCATCTCACTCACAACTCATCAAATTAGACTGTTACATTGTCATGATCAGCTTATATTAAAATTCATTTTCTAGACAGCGATATCCACTAGTATCTTTGTAAAAATCTGGGGATACAACACTGAATACCCAATTACATACATACGTGTTAGAATCGACTCTGCGACCTCAACTTGGTTTTCATATTTAAAGATGCAATATATTAGGAAAATATGAATTTACTAATAGCTACCTGCATATTTTTAAACATTTTTCACTTATTTGTTCAATAAATAGATGGATTTTACCACAGTCCCAAGAACTCTTTCCTACCAATCATCTTACCAGTCAGTCAACGTACTCGTACATGTCTAGATGGAGCAATACGTCTCAAATTGTCATGTAATCATTTAGAATATGCTAAAGCCGTTGAATTACTGCTTGTTTTTACGCTATGATATTACTTTACATTAACTATCCTCAAAAGTTCACAAACACAATAAATTGTTAAACATGCAAATGATATGATTATGGCGATAATAGAAACGCTTACATTTCAATGATAAAACAAACAGTCCGTGGGCGCAAGCTACTTACTCTCTACTTGTATTTTCAAGCACGAGTACAAACTTTACCTTGTGTATCCATTAACAATTCACCTATCTTACAGAAATTCACTATTATTATATAAAGTAACTCATGAAAAACCAATATCTACAAATGTTGGTAATTTAATATTAAAGCGAAACAGTTATTATAAGATCATTATATCATGAACAGATTTCAAATCTTGTAACGAGACATTAATTAGAATTGACGTATAGATTAGCAAAATTGTCTGTTCATTTTATTTTCTTTGTACAGCTATTCACATTAAAAATAAAGTGTTTTTTTTTTATCTCTAGTAACTAATTTTCCCACCAAGCACTCTACTGAGATTTCCTTTGCCGATGGAATCACAAAAAGCTAAATGAGTCTCTCAAACGATTTCTGCCTTTAGGGGAGTCAAAGTGCAAATGAACACTCCACTGTAGTTCTCTTTTAAAAGAAGATAAGTAAATAACATTTTAATTCGCATTTAACTTAGAAAATAAAAAGAACAATAGTGTTATAGTTTGTTTAAACAACTTAATTAAAATTTAAACAAGCGAATAATTCATTATCAAAAATCGATAAATATATTGAATTTTATGCTTTATTACATACGAATGTTTCATTCCCATAGTATTTTTGTGATAATTTCTACAAAACTTGGTTATCTTTTCATTAGATTTTATTATAACAGGCTATATTTAATCCAAACTAATTAAAATACAAGTAGATAATATATGTAGAAGATGTATTCACATAGTTAAACATGTCAAAATAAAAATTAATTAAATAAAAAAATATTTTACTCGATTGGTATTTTTTTTTATTTTATAAAGTTCCTCACAACTTTATTAGTAAAAAGAACTTTATTAAGAATAATTTTATATAATTCATTGATAATTACGATGGCGTACATCTCTCAGATAAATATGGTTCGACCAAACCTAATGGTTTTATATCATAGTACTATATTTGCATAAAACTTGGCTATTTAGTTTATTTTTATGGTTATCAGAGCAAAGAAAATCAATATGTATATTGTACATGACTTACATGTTTTATGAATATATTACTTTTATAATTATTTAAAACTATAAAACAAATCTAAAAATATAAAGGTTTATTTGGATAAACTTTACATACTCCATGATACCGTGTGGGGTGAAGGCCCCTCTGGGTTTATTATGTAACACCCATGCTCATGTATAGGCAACGGTTACTATCTATCAGGCTCTACGTTAACTTGTTTGTCAATCTATGTTGCACAAATAAACCATTATATGTTTATTTATATAGTAATGGACACGTGGTTTGATTTCAGGTTTTACATTATGGGGAACATCATGGTTTATGATGAAGAATATTGTGCTACCTGGAGGTTTCGTGTTCAATATGGCTGGCATTGCAATAGCTGGATATGTATTGGGACATACTATAGAACGATACACAAAAATCACTCCAATGGTGGGAATGACTTTAGTTGGTGCTCTATACAGAAACTTTGGCACAACAAATTATTTAGAGTATCCAGTTGCAGATAGAATAGATTACCATTTAAGGTTTGTCTCTGTTCTTTCACTTAATTATGAGAATTAATATTTCCTTAACCTTTTGACTTCGTAACGAATGCTTAAATCTTGTGTCAAATCGGCAATTTTATATTACAGATAACGACTTAATATCTTTAATATTACGAGTAATTTTATAAAATTGTAAACTGTTCTATATTCGATCTCTGTTATATTACTGTATTAATATACAATTAGTGGGCAGTTAGGTAAATGAAAAAACTTACAAACACAGTTTTTCTGTAGGATAAATACCTACGACTGAGGCGATTAGAAGATTAAAATTTAAATATATTATGTGTTATTAAGTAAATCACTACAATAAATAGGTATTACATAAAGTAATAAATACTTAAAACGACAATTTGTGGCGAAATAAGGGAAACACATATTTATTGGTCAATAGTGAACAAGTTAAAATAGTGGATGATGACTAAATCTGTACTGAACTAAAATACAAATGTTATTCGATACTGATAAATAGTTTGTGAATAAAATATAAGCAATATAGTCGAAAATCGCATATCATATACCTTGTGAAAATGAAAAAAAAAAACATTAGATTAACTATTGCAGGATTTTCCTTGTAACAGAAACGATTGCTAAAAAAACTAAATAAAACGAAAAATACGATTGCAGTGCCAAATTCTTTTTCCATATTTTAAAACGGCTTACAGCCACCATTTTTTTTTATTTATAGCCATATCGCTCAGAATGCTGTAAAACTCTAACGATACTCCATACATTGCAATCTGTCGAAGCATTTATATATTCTGATAAAACAAAGAAACTTAAATACATAGAATCTGAAATAATAAATAGTACTAATTCTAGTATGGTATAATAGTACTAATATCTAGTAGATACTATCAATTGATACTATCTACTAGACAAAAATGTAATAATTCCTGGCAAACCTATCCCAGGGCATAGAAAATATCAACAATTCTATACCAGAATAATAAATACATTTGATTTGCCATTTTAGTAACAGTAACCATACAAATCAACGTAATTGAGATACAATCCGTTTGCAACCAAATTGTAAGAACAAAGAACGGCCTTTGCTTTCAGACGAATTTACCCGGTAATTATCCTGACTAAGGGTCCGCTTACTTGGAATTGGGAATACATAAAAAATAATTCAGTTAAAGTTTTTTCCTTGGCCACTTTGCCATGGATCGTGGAATGTTCGTCTACTGTATTCTTCAGTTACATTCTGTTGGGCTTCCCATGGTATTGGGGTAAGATATTTTATCTATTTTATTCCTGTATTATGTTACATTTCATAACGCTCGTGTCTCTACTGTCAAGTAGCTGGGTTTGTTTATTGATATTTAGGTTTGAATGCTGATATATGGCAGTTAAATACCAGGTATAAAGGCACAGAAACTCAGATATGGTGACACAAAGGGTGCTATGGACATCCCAGTATGACCTGCAACACCTTCATGCTAATCACGTTTATATGCGATGGTTACTAAAGAATCACCTATAAACATGACTACTTTCTATGTAGTAAACTGTCAATATCAAATAGAGATCTTACTGATCCTGGTTTGTAAATATACACATACAAAAAAATATGTAATGCACTATACTAAAACAAACTTCTTTTCACAATTACAATATTAGTAAAGATTACTGGAAAGGATTTAAAACAAAAACAAAGCTTGAACAATTCGATAACATAATAACAGTGCCACTTGAAGTCAATTCTGTAAATTATTGAACCTTAAAATTTGATTATGACAAGAAATTTACTGGTAAAGGGGTTCGACTAACAATAATATTCACATTCAGGTACCATTATTGTCCTAATAATATTGGCCTTATGATTCCATAAAACGTTTTTATTGCATAAATAGAAATTTTATGTAAAGAATATGTTTTTCATTTATACTGATGTCGTATTATTTTGTTTAAGAAATATAAATCGTAAATAATATCTTTTATTATAAAAAAATAGTTCAAGTCATTACTAAAATGTAATTGTACTACATAAATTAAACTATCCTTGCTAATATTATAAATGAGAAAGTTTGTTTGTTAATTTATAGCGCCATGACGGCTTAACTAATTACTATGAAATTTGGTATTCACGTGTGTGGGATGGAGAACGATATAGGCTACTTTTTAACCCGGCCAATGAAAATATCTCAGTCATGTAGACGAAGTCATGGATAAAAGCTAGCTATTATAAAAAATCATTAATGTATTTAAAATCAATAGAATAAATAAGATAAAAATTCTTAGTTATGTTTGCTCTTAAGATAATAAAATTAGAGGAAAAAGCCACAAACCCTTAGTTTTGGCTTTTCCCTGTAATAATAAAAAATAAAATAATGACTTTAGTTCCATGGTAAGCAATAAGTAAATAAATAACTATAATAATAACTCGAAATTTCAAAACCGATGGCGTGTATAAATAATAAAAACATTTTAAGAAAGATAGTGAAACAAATCACGAGTATTTTGAATAACATTTCATAGTCGATATAATAATAATTTACAATTATCCTTTTCCTTAACATTTTACCTGTAATATCGAGATACTTTAAGCTTCGAAACCAACAGCTTAACGTGCCTCCGAATCATTATTTGTACTCAGCCTTGTGACAAATATTTGAAGAGTAACACAATATTTATTGATACCGAAATCAAACCTACAAGCTGTTGTATCAAAAACATGAAATTATCACTATAACTTATGGACTAAAAAAGAAATACCGCGTATTACCGACCCTAACGAAACGTCTTTACCTCTTTTTATTATACCAATTCCCATGTCTTTTATATCATGATGAAGTTTAATTTTACAGTAAAAATACAAAGATAAACCTAAATATTTATTGAATACTCGTATTTCTGTAAAGCGCCATGTAAATATTACACAATATAGCTTCATAATTACAAAGACAGGCTTAACCCCACTGTCAAAAAACGAGAGTTATGTTTTTCAATTGTATGTTTGTAAGCCCGAGTCTTTGGCGCAGTAGCTGAGCTTGGTAACAACATTAGATAGAAAAGATTATCTAATAATCAAAAATATTATCCCCATTGTTAGCAACATATTCTATAAAGTCAACTTCCATACGGTTGCCCTGGAAAACTGACTATTCCTCAACAATTTGAAAAAAGAAGTTAACTGATCGGACTTCATCCTCAACTATCATCCCCTACTAATATTTCACTACTATACACCAATAGCGCACGTGGGATGGGTTTACTATTCCATTTTTAAATAAAAAAAATTATCATTTTAAGTTATAAAATAGGCTTCCTGTTAATTATAAGTACACAACTACAATTTAAAATAAGTTAATTTTTGTAGTACCTACATTATAACATCAATTTATAAAATTATCATCATCATCATCATTATTATTACTATTTCATTTGTTATAAAAAAATAATTTTAAATTTTAAATAAATCCTTCAGGTTTACACTTAGGTGCAATATTAGCTTCAGTGTCACCGGCAGTCGTAGTACCAACTGTGAATGCACTTAGTAAGAGGGGATTGGGTGCGAAAAATCAGATTGCACAGCTGGTCGGCAACGCCGGTGGACTAGACACCGCGGTCACGGAAGGCGTGTTCGGAATTATCAACAGTGCCATATTTTATGAATCGCCGCTCTCCTACAGAATTACGAAGGTAATTGTAGGAAGCGTGATTGTCTTACCTTGTAATGTGATGGAAAATCACGATCTCATTTCATTTAAATAGATTTTACATTGATGTTATAATGAAAAAATATATTAGATTAAATCTATTTGAATTTATAACGCGAAATCGTGTCTGATAAATGGCAGCATCATCATCATCAAATTAATATGGAACCAATATGGTAGTAAAACTTCATATTTAGTCGAAAAAGTATCAAAATTCGTTTACAATTATCGATATAATCACAAAACATAACCACACAAATTATACATGAATTTAAGAATAATGGAACGTGATATTAAAAATATACCTGAACAATATGTGTTGGTTTAAAATAATAATGTATATGGAAAATGAACGAGGAAATATTATGCTGCCAAAATATTAAATGAATTGCTACTTTAATAGAGATAAAATTTTTATCTCAATAAAGATTCCATGTTAACAACATAAAATGAGACCACCATACGCTATCGACCACAAAAAGAATTACCGAAATTCATACAGAATTAATGAAAAATTCACAAAAAATCTTTTCAGCTTTTGTATTGTTGTTTAAATTTTTATGTACTTATATTTAAATTGAATTTTAAATATAATCACATGAACACGAATTCAATATTATTATATATTTTTCTTTACTTAAACCCTGGTAATATAAATAAAAGCATATTACGCTAACCATATATTATTATAATGGTGATAATGTTTATGATTATTCTTTACTAATTTAACACTAGGAAGTCAATATATACCTGCATCCTAGCACAGCTCAAATAAAACTTGAATGAGTAACATGTAAAACTCGTATATTACTTTTTTCATATGTCAATGCAAATAATATCAATAGATTCTATATCACAGGTACTACCAAATAAAACCCTCCATCTATGTTCTACATACTCAGTTGTTTTTATTCTTGGCTTATTTCGAGAACAATCCTAAAAAGTCGTTGTACCGATTTTTTAAATATTTTCCTTGTAAGACATTATGTAAAATAATACTATGAATATTAAAGATTTATATAACCGTTCGTAAAAATTCAATCATCTGTAGGTAGCTACAATACTGACGAGTAAGATAAACTATATTTTAAGTAAAAAAAAAATCAAAATCTACTTATCTACTAGTGCGAATCCGGAGCGAATTGCTAATTAAAACCAAAAATTGTAAGCTTCATTGAGACCTTGATTTTCCATCACAATTAATTAAAGTGAAAAATGCATTAATAAATTTTTTACGTTGCAATAGCTTTTACATTGTAACAATATCACAGGCAATATTAGCAGTATTTCTTGGAATTGGCCTTGGAATATCATGGGGTATACTTGTTGATGTCATCCCAGATCAAAAGGATATCTACGCGCCTACTATTCGAAGTCTGCTCATATTCGGAGGCGGACTCTTACTCTCCTATACTGGTGGCTTCTTTGGGTGGGGTGGGACTGGTAAGTATGAAAGTACATCTTACTCTTACTAATATAATCAAATTTTACTAGACATTATCTTTATATTGGAGATATTTAAATTTTTTTTTTTATTTTTTATTTACGAGTATCCTCTTATGGATTCAACTAATTCATGTATTCCCTTCTAACCAGCTCTATTCCAGGCTATATTTTTGACTTCCCTCTACGACATGACACCTATTATTTCCTTTATCTGTCCTATATAGTTATTTCTGAATCTTCCCTTTCCTTAAACAAAAACTTATATGATTTTAAAAATAGAAGCCAAACAATATTGTTTTAAAATTCTTGTGTGTCTTTTTATCTGTACATTATGTCATATATGTCTATGTATTTCTGTCTATATATTATTCTGGCATTACACAAAAACTACTACAGCAAATTAAATTTGGTTTTTATACTTGTATTTCTAATCTAAAAGTCTATCTTAAAGTCCGGTGCACGAGTACATTTTATCTTGATACACCGTCTAGAAGTAACCTACTTCTAAAATCCACGGGTGCTCAGTTGCGTGCAAAGGCTATTTATGTAACTATATATATAAATGGTTGACTGTTGATAATATAAATATAATCATAGTTGTAATATAGATATATTTAAGCGTAGAATGCGTTTGCTATTGAGTCTTTGTACTAACTCCGTAAGGAGATGTTGTGAAAATAACAATAGATACAGATGAACTAGAAATCATAAGACTAATATTAAGGAAGAGTTCTATCATTAAAATTAAAAATATATTTTTCTGCTGGAATATGAGTCAAAAAATGACAAAAATATTTAGCTTACCCATATTCACATGCCAGTTAAATATTTCAGTCTCCCTAATGTTCTATTACTGACTTACATATATTTATATATAATTGAACTAGTAATAAAAATAAAGATTAAACGAGAAGTAATTATTTACTTTTCCTATAGTTGTGGGGTATCGTTGAAAAGAAATTTGAGAACATAATTGTAATGTTACCTAAAACGGCGATAAAGGAATCCCTATAGAATCACTGTAATTATTGTTCTCTTATACGTATAAATCAAACTTTGAAAATTACTAAAAACAGATCACTTAATTTATTACTTTTTGCTTTTTTATCTTAAAAAAAAAAAGAAGCTCACAACTGAAATCCCAGATGGATTATTTCAAGGTCGTTCATTAGTTGACTGTTACTATTATGGAGACCGTATCAATCGATTATTCGTTTAAATCCGATGTGATAGGGAGAGAGGCTACTTGTCGCTGTGTCGTTTTCATTTAGATTACTCATAAGTATTTAATATCATTGGTTTCATGAATCATAAGAGATAAGAATTTAGGTAACGACTTAGATAAACTTAGTATAGTAATTTACGTAAATTATCTCGACATTAGTTCCCATTATTTCCCTATTGGAGACAATAGGAAACTGTTAACTTTTATACTTTATGGTTTATGAACCATCTAATACGAAAGTCTAAAAGTTAACAGCCAGAAATTTAAATCCACATAAAATTCTTGGTGTCGACCAAATTCAGCTCTTCGGGAAATTGAACCTCCTAACAGACATTAAAAACTTTCTATCTATTTCAATGAATAACAATAATATACTACAACCCAAAGACGGTATCTTATTATTCATTAAAATAATAAGAATAACTGATTTAATCTATTAGTTTTGTATATCTATCTACTTATACAACTATGATTTAGAAGGTGTGATGGCAAGAGATGGCTCTATTTAGAATAACATTTGAGTGAAAACGATATTGAATAGAATACTATTATAAAATAAACGTAGCATGAAATGGACCTTACTACACCGTAAATGTTGTCTTAGGAAGTTACTATTGCTCTTTGTTGTAGAACCCTCAGAGTGGTATAGTCCTGTTTAATTTCACAACAATTAATATATCTATTACTGCAATATAATTTTCACATTTGAACATGGTGTTAACGAAATAATCATCGAACCATCATGCATTGAACGTTTAGCGAGTATTTAGTATAGACCAGACTATAGACAAAATACAAAGGTGGTACAGCACAGAATGAAACTGTTTTAAATCAGTTCAACAAAATGATATTAAAAATATCTGTAATAATTTGTTTGAAAAAATAAAAAATCATATTATACACAACAATTTAATCTACTACAATATTGTGCATTCTCTTTTGCATAGTAACAAAACAAAAGTAAGATTTATAATCTATTACTTTTTTCTTTATTGATTGTAAAAAATATATATTGCTAATTTTTAAATTCTCTGTTATCTTATCTCAGCCTGGCATCAAGGAACGAATTTATACCACTGGACCTCGACAATTCTTAGTATAAACAAAAGTCTTATCAGACAGGCCATTTCGACTTTAATGGTATGGTTTAGCTGGTTACAGCAAGAAGCAATGGGTCAATGGCTTAACAGATTACGTTGAAATATCAGTAGACAAATTTAGGTATTTATTTCATTGTTAAAGTGCGTATATATTTAAATATTTGTACAAAAATCACGCGTCAAGCAGATGAAAATAAATCTTATTCAATATGTGTTATTAAATTAAAAATTTAAACATTATTACAAACTCAAAGAACAAGGTTATCTGAAAAAATATTTACATTATGTAAGACAACCTAGAAATCATTAGTAACGGAGCTCTTGTGTTCTCAACGAGACAGTGACTCCGATCTTATCAGTAACAACAACGTTATTAATGAAATCTCATGATAAGAACAAGAGATGCTACTGTACATGATATCAAACAAATACATAAACTATATTAAACTCATAATTTCACAAATTAGTCTAGAAATAAGATAATAAATGTAATATCTTTTTTTAAAAACAACATACCACAAATTAATACCATGTCCAAAAAATATTAATAATGTTTAAAAAAATAATTAAAGATCATCTACGGGCATAACCTATAAATTTCATTTATTAAACAAAATCCTCAACATCAACCATTTTACAGTTAAAACAAGAGTTTTCAAATAAGTAATTTGATATTCTTTATACAAAATTGATGAAAACAATAAATTGTTTCGCACCTAAAGTAACAATAATTAAAATTACTGGCACTTTACAATTTCAACAAAAGTATATTATTACCAAAATATATTTGGAAAACTTTAGGATTAATTAATGGTATTTTTAATGAAATTATATATCAATCAAAACTGAGTCACAACCATCCAAAAGTCGCAACATACTAAATAAGTATACGTACCGTTTGTCGACACAAATACGTAATAATGAAATACTTCTTACCTACATATTTTATGAACATGTATATTTCTTAAATACCTATATTCTATTACCTTGTTTCCTTTAAAAACGGAAACGAATACTTTCCAGTTTATTACAATCGTTACTAAATTTACATATACCTTACACTTTAAATAAAATTCAATATACTGTACGATATTAAAACTGTTTGAAAATCATCACTGGCATAAACAAAAGAAATTAAAAAGCATTAAGCAACAATTATTGGTATTTCTATTATAATGCCCGAGTCAATAGAGACACAAGTGGCCGAGCGTTATGAATCGCAACACTAATTGTTATATTGCCTTTGTTAGCCTTCGTACCAATTAGGTTCAATCAACAATATTGTTTTTGTATGCGGGTGATTTATTTTGTTTGGTTTAATTTACAAGATTTCCGATCTCAAACTAACACACCTGCTTTTACAGTGTATGTTTTGAGCGTCTGGGTTGGTTGTTAATTGTCGCTCAATAATAGCTAATTGGAATCTTGCGGTAGAGTGGAATCGAAATCATTAACGTTGTATGTAAGTTGTATAACGTCCTAAGTTCACAGCCAGGCCAATATGATTAACCTTCTGACCGGGCATACCAAAATTTCCGCGTACTGTTTCTACTAGTATAATTTTACGCTACCCGCGATTTCGACGTGCTTGCATTTTTTATGTTTATCCTGCAATTTTCGTTTTGGTAGATTGCTATTGTTTCTCAGAATCTCGCTAGATTGCTAAATACTCGTACTGATATTTGTTGTCAAATCGATATGTTTTATTGTTGCGAAAAAAAATACGCAATCAAAGGGTTAATGACTATGTATGTGTCATAATTGTTAATAAATATAAATGTCGCATAGAAATCAAAATATTTAAGAAAATATTATTTATTCATAATTTGCTTATTTGGGAGATTTAAAAATGTAAACAAAATTAATCAATCCGATCAGAATTTAAATGTACAATCTCCATAATTAGCATAAGAGTCGAAAGGGTTATATGTTTAATTTTCAAATAATACATTTCCGCAATCCCACAATAACGTAATTATAAAGCAATAAACACTCACGTCAGTTATGAGCGCTCAGACACCTTACATACAAAGCCGTGACTAAATTATATATATTTGTATCATAACTCTTTTTATTTCTAAAGGATGACTTAAACCTACCACAGGTTTTCATTTATAAAACACGCCACATTTTTAGCGACACAGCGAAAGATAAACAAAGATTCTAAAAAATATCTTTTGAATTCTTTTGCTCTTATTAAAACTTCTCATATAATTTTCTTAAATATATCCTATGTACAGACGTTGTTTACTTGCAATTTTATTATATTAATAAAATTTGATAGATATTTCAAACTTGTTTGTAACATAACATGATTAGGGATAATATACCGAATTCATCACTGTATTTACAACTTACTATTTTCTTTCTTTTTATTGCTGTAAAGCGTACCTTGTCTGCTCTGTGTAATAATTAGTATTGAAAACTTAATCGGTTACTAAATATGTATATATATATATATATAATATATCTGTATGCGGATGATCTACAACGTGTCTGATGCCATTGCTGTCTTAAATACGGATTTATCTGCAATACAATCGTGGGCTAACACATTTGGCCTTCTCGTAAATCCTGCTAAATCACAAGCTATCATTATTGGCAGCAGCAGGATGCGATGCAGGTTGAATTCGACCGGGATACCGCCACTTTACTACGATGGAGTTCCAGTGGCATATAGCGAGAAGGTTAAGAACCTTGGTCTCATAATGGACGGCACTCTATCTTGGACATGTCATATAAATGAGCTCAGTAGACGCATGCACTTTACATTTCACTCTCTCAAGCGACTTCAATACTCTCTCCCAGTAAATACTAAAATCATGCTCGCACAATCTCTACTACTCCCAATACTTGACTATGCCGACGTCTGTTTTTTGGATGTGACTGAGGAGCTTCTAAACAAGCTGGAACGATTACAAAATCTGGCCATTAGGTTCATCTTTGGTCTTCGTAAATATGATCACGTTTCTGCCTTTCGCAACCAGTTAAAGTGGCTTCCTATCCGACTTCGACGTGATATGCACATCCTTTCTTTCCTTTATAACATACTTAATAACCCCAATTCTCCTTCGTACGTCCGCTCTCGATTTAAATTATTACCACCACCAATCTGTCCTAAACGCTCCTGTCAAGTTCAGTCCAGGATTCTCGACCTACCTTTGTGTAGAACACATTTTATGGGCAACTCTTTCTCGTATCGAGCTGCCCAATTATGGAACAAACTCCCTTCCCACATACAAGAGAGCCCTTCAATTACCTCTTTCATGAAAAGGTTGAAGTTACATTTTCTTTCCTTTGAGTCATAATCTTAATTTATTTATTTTTATAATTGAACTGTCAAACTTTAAAATCATTGAACTAAATTTCTATTCTAATATACTAATATTCATTTATTTTAACATCCACTGTATAAGTAGGTAGATATTATATTTATTTATAGTATATGTATTTATGTAATATTTTATTATGTATCTTAATATTTTATTTAACTGTATATTTGTTTATGTACACTAAATATTAATAGTTGTAGCACTTCAGCTGCCCGCTAGGAACATGTTTTCTAACTGCATTGGGTTGACTGGAAGAGATCTCTGTCAGAGATAAGTCCACCCTTGCTCACAATATTTATAAATACATTAACATTGTAATTTACAAGTGCAATAAAGAATATATATATATATATATATATATATATATATATATATATATATATATATATATATATATATATATATATAAATATTTAATATTTGTTCTGTAAATTGTACTATTTGTTTCGCAAATAAAATAAAATATAAATGCTTTAAAATTTGATTCGTTATATGTAACTGGATAATGCGAATTTAATAAACTTACTATATTTATCATTTCCAACCGATGAGAGAGTGGTCACAGGATCTCGCCACGCATTCAAATAATAAAATTTTAAAATAATATTGAATCAGAATGTTATAAAATCGTGTTTTATATTTGACGGCTATTTTACGTAAAGAGTACCATTACATAATAATTATATTTATTTCTATCATAACTCTATCATAACACAATCTTGCATAATCTTCAGAAATATTTAATCATTGAGATTAAATTCGCTTCCTTAGATTTAATACTTGTCAGTAGCACAAGGGCGACCTATATCTGAAAATTGTCCCTGCCAGTCAATCTTTTTATTTTATGCAATAAGCTGACAGCTCACTTGATGGAAAGTGATAACCGTCACTATAGACATAAATAGCTTTATGTACATCATAGAATACGCATCGTATATTATTAAGCATTATGTACCGTACCCTATAATTTTAAGGTATAAATTATAAGTTGTGCAGCTTAAAGGCAGAAATACGAAGAGGAGAGAGGTACCCATGCAAATGACTTTTGTGCAAATTTTCCTCTACTCTTTGGGTTATCATCATATCAGCCTTTAACTGTCCACTACTGAACATAAGCCTCCCCTGGGGTATTTTACCAATAGTTGCTACGCTTGGTAGACGGATTGGTAATCGCAGTTAGACTTTGGAAAGGTTTTAAGAGGAACACTGCTGCCAATCTATCACCCTCACTTAGTCGCCTCTTACGACACCCACGGGAAAGGAAGGGGTGGTCTATTCTGAGCCGGGATCGACACGGCAAATTTTTTTGCGTTATATAAAGTAATAATATTAGTATACAAAGTAATAATATTATTGTTTTCCAGCCGGAGTGGCCATCATGGTCTGTGCGGGAACCGCAGCGACGCGATGGTCGCGGCGCGGCTGGGCCACTAATGACAACCCGGTATCAGAGGTCTACAAACTCCTATGGAGAATTTTTGAGCCTATACTTTTCACTTACAGCGGATACTTCTTAGAGGTATACTTTATATTACTATTTTTTGTTCAATTTCTCCATGAATTTTTTTAGCTAAATTCACACCTATTCAATTCGAGTAAAATACGTCAATATAGATTAAAATCACGATTAATAAATAAACAAAACGGGACACTTATATACTAGATAAAATATTTGAAACCAATGTGTATCAATTACTATAATCACAAAATAATTTACACATCTTATAACTATCGTAGAGTAGAGGCATTACAAGTTTCTTGACGTATATGTAGTAACTGACCCTCTGCAAAAATACAAAATATAAGGCAGGCAATATCTTTTATAAACTATACAATATATAGCTTTATCATATACAACTAAGCTAACTATGGTTCCCATACAGGTCGAGCCTGTAATTTTAATATAAATATATATTGTATAATAACTTATAACATATTATGGCCATCCACTATATAAAGAATATAACATTGCATCTCTTTCTCACGCCTTTTGAATTGCGATTCAGTGGTTATTCACTATACAATGGCAACAATGGATATAATCCATATGATTATATTATCTAGTATTATAAGTTTAGACGGTTGTTACTCTATCACACTTTAGTGAGTGAATGGATTTGATTGAAATTTGAAGCATATACTAGATTAACTCATAGAGTAATTTTATCATAATTGCAGATAACAAGAAACTAGTACTAGAATGCGTTTTCGTATATTCGCTCGACCTTGGCTTATCGTTCCACAGTATGTTTCCATAAGAGCATTCGTTTTTACTATGTTTACCAAAAACAAATCCAATTTTTTTTTTTTTTTACTTTGACTAATCATTCGTGTTTATATTATAACACTGTATAAAAAGTTATAAATAATATATACAGTATCTAAATAGATACCGTTCAACAGGTATCACAGGTAACAGCAACGGAAATCTGTCTTATAGTGGCATGCATATTCTCTGCCTTAATTCTTCGGTTAGTAACTGCTTTCCTGGTTGCAGTCGCTAACAAAATGTCGGTAAAGGAGAGTCTATTCATAGCTGTCACTTGGATGCCTAAAGCCATTGTAGAGGTACGTATCAACTTACAAATTCTCTATAGCTTGTCGTTGTATAATATTATCGTAGTTCATATACCTTAAATATCTGAATCTTACACGTATTTTTATAATAAATACTAGTCGTAAGGATTATATAATATTATGAATGTGAAAGTAAGTTTGTTTGTTTATTACCTCTTGACATCTTAACAGCTTTACCAATCACTATGATATTTGGTACACAAATGCCTTGTACTTGTAGGATAGAGAAAGACATAAACTACTTTTATTCCCGGTCAATGAGCATATCCCGGTCACAACCGGCCGTGAGAAAAAGTTTATGCACGATGTATTTAATAAAATAACAATATTATTTGCCTCATAAAAAATATTTTAAATAATGTTTCAATTTCTTGGTAATATCTATGAGGCACATTTAATTCTACTAATTGTGAAAATATAATTATAGATATAACTTTATTATCTTCTTTATACACAAGAAACAAACATTCAATCGATGTTTGAATATTTGTTTTTCAATGATTGATAGTTCGAACCTGGTTCTATACTCTTTGGTTCGAACATAATTTTATACAAAACCTAGATATTCATCCAAAATACTAATAATGTTGCACAATTTATAATACTTCAATTATATAGATTTATATATATTTCCTATTAATATATTACTCATAATTATATATTTCGTAGAGTATAAATAACATGTACTCAATATATTTTGAATAAAATAAACTTCCAAGTTTCGTTTGAGTGACTATGAGCTCAAGTACTTATACCGGCTTTACTTTGTTTTTTGTTCCATCTTCTGACTCCTCTTATTCTTCTTTAATTACGAGATTTTTAAGACAACTTGCGACAATAATAAAGAAAATCCGCCGGATTTAATGTGGTAACATGTAAGTCGAAACAGAAAAACTGTTTCTTTAATTAAATATAACACGAAATCGATCATAGTACATATTTCGTTTTAAATATTAGAAACTTAATAAAAAATAAAATAATATATTAAATGAAAAAAAAAATGCATTATACTTAAATTGTTATTTATCATATTTATAACACAGAATTCTTAATAGACAAGGCCGACTCTGCCTTAACCATTTTCATTTTAATTTATAACAAAAGAAAATTGCTGAACCAATATTTGGAAGGGGAAATTCTCGTTACACGCTGGAGCAATTAATCATACTAGAATAGCTAAGGATTCAAGCTCGCCTGTTAGCTGCGAATGGCCTCCGCGTCACCGCTACTAAATTATTACTTTTAAGTGATCCTTTCATTAACGAATGAGAAACGAGACGCTCACACGCTAACAGTCGCCGGTTTAATTCCATATGATATTATCCTCCAGTTTCTACAAATTACTTGTCCCTAGCTCCAAAGCTTTGAAAGATCTCAAAGGTGTTTTAGAACATGTACGAAAACTAAACACGTTATATTAAAATACTAGCAATAACTCGAGGTTTTCTGCTTATGATTAAAGATAAAAAATGTACTATTTTAACATATCACTAGTACTATATTGATCTCAAATCTGAATTAAATAACAAACATATAAATAAATAAAAATATTTTTAAATTAACTATAAACTTTACTATTTTAATAATATTTTTTATGAATCTGCCGCTCAGTTTCGAGTGCAATTTCAACTGAGAAGAACAGGCAAGATACTCAGCTGTTGTTTTATACACAATAAAATACAGAGTAATATTTTCACATTAATAATATTAACTAGTTAATATTGATGTTAGTTATCTGAAATAACTAACAGGCAAATGAAATCACTTCAGAAGTTCGTTGCTTGTCTAAATTTTAGTAGGTATAGGAAACATTAAAGAGACAACTAATAGATCTTGAATACTTTATGGCGGCTTAATTTACGCATATTTACCTTTTTAATATTACATAGGCGCTTGAACTATGACTAAAGGGTAAACCACGGTACAACAAATGAGTCTTAGCAAAACAAAAGTCTAAGCAGAAGTAACTTATTCCGTGGCAGTAGCTGACTAACTTATCATCGTAATACTGAAACCCATTGTCATTTTTTTTTTTAATTATAAATATTTCTTTTGTATTTCCATATCAGAATATCAATCCTTTAAGACATTCAGATATTATAGTAAGGGACTTTAAGGTACGTAATATTGACATAACCTGATCTCATTGTTTCACTTTCTATATCTATATATACCTACCAATTGTATATGTTATTGTTAAGAATATATCATACGGTCCAATAAAAGAGTTGGAGGGAAAGTACCTCTTGTTATTATAATCAAATGAAAACTTGTTGAAATAAAACTGCATTCAGAGAACAACATTTTAAAGTAAACATTTGTATTTTTATAGCATTGTTTGCTTTTAATTGGAATTTTATAAAAATTAAAACAAGTGCTTGTCACAACATTCAATAAATATTATATTTTAAACAAATATCATATTTATTTTGCAATTAATTTGTAACATTGTTCAATATAATATTTTATAGATTATGAATGTACTTATTAATTAAATATTGAAGTGAAACTCAAATAATAAATTATATAGTCTTATTTTAAAAACAAATATCTGTAAATGGTAAAATACTAACAAAATCGAATCCTTTGAACTCGTCGTTTGTTTTAAGATGTATGAAATTCATGCAACGTCTACACAATAATCAATATTTCTGGATAAACATTTTGAAATACTTCTTGATAGCTTAATACCAAGACCCTTATTTTCGAACCAGATGATGCTAAATTACAAATAAGTGACCCATATATACCATAATATTTATATATGAGTTATTTATTAATTAATATGATGTATTGCTCTAAAACATTAATCATAAAACAATTTACTCATAACTGTAGCTTGTATTCTATTTCATATTTTAATTTTGAATCAATTAAATATTTTCTAAGTTACCTTAAAAACTTAATTCTCTAATCAACTATATGTAGTTTTAAATATAACGCAAAATGTACCTATTTTGTGCTATGTCTTTACAAATTTTGAATCGACTACTTTTTGCTATCGATAAAATTTACTCAAGTCAAAAATAAAATCTTAAATCTCTCCTCTTGGCGCTTTAACAGTTCAATCAATCATCATATGATTTGACATACACTTAGTATTTGGGATAAAGAAGAATATAAGCTATTTTTTATTCCGCACAATCAATATTGGCCTGTCACATGAACGACGTTGCGTTTAAAAGTTAGTAGATATATATATAAAGGAAACAATCTGGTTCATACTGATTTACTGAGATAATACTTATTCACAGGACTTAGTTTAATTTTAACTTAAGAGACAAACACATGTAGTAAATCGATCAATAGACTTTTTATTTATTTTACTATTTTATCTTGAAACAGAAAAGATAAAATTTATCTAGATATAACAAACGTACACAATACTTATTTGAGAATAATTTCGAAAAAAAAATTTAAACTTCATATATTATAGGCGAGCAATATTTAAAAACTATTTAGGTAGTCGACGAGCATTTCATTAAATATTGAAATATTCCTATTTTAAATGCTAATTTAAATAGATTCAGCAGCTTCCTCTTTACATAAATAAATATAGTGGGGTTATTGACCGAAGGCTTCCTTGTAGGGCACAGCCCATAGGATGTCCCAGCGATACAGTGTTTTCTATTATGTCCATGTTTTTGTTCGTGTCTATAGATGAATATAAGTTAGCATTTTGTATCTGTTGCCTTTGTCTATGTCTAGCAGAGTAAACAATATAATATTATTATTGCAGCTCATTTTCTACCCAAAAAGTTAAAATAAGAATAAGATTAAAATCTTGTATTACAATTGATAAACGATGACATAATTTTAATTTTTTGCATCTGTTAACCACAGATGCAAAAAATAAAACATTTGTCCAAAAATTATTTTTATTTATTTGTTTTAATTTATACAATGAATTTATATATAATTATTATAGCTGCATATGTAACAGGTCGTTGGCTTTGTCATTCTGCATCCCGAAATTATATTCTCTAGTATCAAGGAAAGTAAAAATAAAGCATGTTCTATTCTATAAATCAGTAACAATTTCAGGCAGTGCTTGTCCGAGTGGCCGCCGATTCTCTAAATAAGGATGCTGGAAGCCTGGATAAAAGTATTGCTACACAACACGCAAATATAATAGTTATTGCTATACTTACCACTAGCACACTGGGATCTGCACTTACTACCATACTTGGACCTGTTTTATTATCACGAGATTCAAAAGTCACTCCTGAAGGTAAATTTATTGTTTGTATTTTATTCATTTTAGTAATTAATTTTATTTAGTAATTATAAAAAATAAATTCATAATTGTATATACATGTTTTTATGGGATCAGAATGGACTGGTTACACTGCACTACTAATATATACTAATGAAGTACCAGCGAAAGATAATAGGTGAGGTTGTTATTAGGTCAGTTGACCCGTCGCATTGAAATCACCAGAAAATAATTATGAGAGTTTCTAAGGGGCCTCATGGTGGTCGAACTGACATAATGTATTTCTAAAAATAACAGGTACTACGAACATTACATATTAAGGTTTCTTCAGGGTCGGCAATACGTACGTAACACCCCTAGTGTTGTAGGCGTCCATAGTCTACAGTGACCGTTTACTATCAGACGTATACGTTTGTTTACCACCTTTATAGCATAAAAAAACTGCTTTTGCCACAATTGAAGTCGGTTTTTTTTTTTTTTTTGTAAAACACAACTTAATTATTATTTAAAAAGGATGGATGCTCATAATTTGCATTTGCTGGTTTTTTTATAATAACAATATGTGACCACATCATTCTGAACAAAGACAGGAACAATATGATCCACGAATGTAATCGACTAAAATAACAATATTCTACTCTCAACCATTCCCCAAATTTTTGTCCCAAAATATTCTATAGCATAGGCAAATTCTTAATTTTACGTATGGCCAACGACTTCGATTTCCTTCTGTATTATATCTTTCCTAGTTGCATAAAAAATGTATTTCTATTACACTTCATAATATAGATAAGAAGGTCTTACCAGAGGCATTTCGTTCCGTTTTTCGTCCCATCTCTCATCTTCGTCTATGATAAACGCGACGAAGGCATATCCTTGACCGCATAAATCCTATAGCATTAAGGGCATTACACGTTCCGGGTAAATGCACACATGCTCACACAATAATACATTTCCGCATTATGCGTGCAAACATATATAAAGATACTACTAATAAAACTAGTAATTTTTCGCGTTAGTAGTTGAAGCGACTACTGAGTACCGCCACCCATTAAAAATGGCATCGCTTTATTCCAATCTGCACATCATTACTCGAAATTTTAAAAACAGTATAGATAATTCAAGTTACAAAATTCAACAAAGCGTATTGATATATACACTAATTGCGAAAGTTTAAAAGTAACCACTTACATCATATCATATAAGCCATTTACTGTCCACTGCTGAACATAGGCATCACCTATAAGGAGTAATTGCCACATTTTTCAACCACAGTTAGGCTTTTGGTGAGCTTTTAAGAGGGACGCTGCTACCCATCGCTCATCCATTAAGTATAAACTTAAAGAATATTATATTAATATAAATAATTTTATATAGAAATATCGGAAAACTATGACGTTGCTTAATATATATAGTCTACACGTACTTTAGCGTGTGGTCCCAGCGTAGAAGGTGCCACCCATTTCTTTCCTGTGAGTATCGTAAGAGGTGACTAAGGGAACTTAACATAGACAGTCGACATATTGTATTTGTCAACGAAAAATAAATAAATAAATAAAAATAAATAAATGAAAACATTATGATAACAATCCAAAAACAGTACTTCCAATATCTAATACATTTTAGAGAGTGAATCATGTCAGTAATTTATTAACAACCAACCATAACCAACACATGATCTCAATTAGAAGTCGAGAATTGAAATTTAGCCGATACCAAAATCTTTTAGCGTTAATTTAAATTCTCCCAGTAACAATCCAGTTAACAACACCAAATTAATCCGATACTAATAGGCTCTCCCCTTGCTGGACTGGATTCAAATATGCCCACAAAGATTAAATCGAGTTATGCGCTCGATTTTCTAACAAATCTATCTCTATGCATCGCCATACATCTTTCATAGTTTTACAGAACTTAGCCTAACAATTTACTCAATTATATTACCAGAATCTATGTAAAAGCAAATTCAGATTAAACATCAATATCATAAGATAAATCAATAGTCATCATATCGAAATATCTTTTATTACAGACACTGCCTCGAATAAACTTTCAATAATTTTCTTCTATCTACATTACTAAATAATATAGAGGTTCATATTTATAAAGCTTAGTACTGTAACAATCATGGTACACGTCCTGCTTTGATATCCCTCACATGGACGAAACAGTATACTCTGTTATGTCCATGGTACTGCTCATGTCTATAGGCGACAGTTACCACTTTCCATCAGGTAGGCCGTCAGCTTGTTTGCCATTCTAAGTTGTATAAAAAAAATGTTTATATTCCTTATTTTCTTTATGAAATTCTTAATAAATAAAAACCAAAAATCATAGGATCCTTTTCCATTAAAAGATAGATGATTACCATTATATACTTACCTATAATGATGATAAACTATCATCAGTTTTTATGAAAACGCTTTATGGTCGAAATAGATTTATTTAACAAATTTATAACTGTCACTATATTAGATTTATTAAATTTTCTAGGTCTATATGCCTAATGACCTATTCATTCCCTACATTAATTCACAAAAGACAAAAGACATACACAACAGACAAAAGCAAATCACAAACTTACATGCCAAATATTTTATCAATAGCCATTATTTTTTGGTTCGAATAATAAACAATATATTGTCATATTCATCCTATGATATCTCATCAATCGATTTCTATTTCACATTTATCCGAAATTCCATCAAGTGATGGAATAACAACACAATTTGTCACCACTTCTCTTTATTCTCGGAATGTCGTAAGAAACGACTAAGAAAACAAAGCTGTACAATAACAGGCTATCTCCTCTTCCTATGGGAAAAAATCCGTGCCAGCAGTGAGACGTTAATGGTAAAGACTACTAGTATAGTTAATTTTAAACATTCGCGTTATTTACACATATTTTTAAAAACACACGTGTTCACAATATGTGGTTCTGTCGCGACCACGACGCGGTGCAATCCACGTCGAAACGTCGGCAATATAGAAGCGAGCTCTTATAGGTATATTGTACCTACATACCTATAAAAGCTTTTTCATCGTGTTAAGCCCCGATTGTGTATTTACAAATCTAGCATAGTTACTAGGTTTATACAAAATATGCTATAGTCTATTTCAACATAATTTAAAAACCAACTTTTGTGGAAATTATTTCAGAAACTCACTCTAATTGGAATTAGTAACAAATCGAAACATTCTATTAATCGATTTTTTATTTGTGTTGCTACTGGACATCAGCAGAAGACAGTTATGGTGGGGTCAATTATTTTTTTGTTTACATACAAGTATTAAATAATTTCTAATTAAACAGACCATACATAGTCATGACCAATAAACAGACGCAAAATATACAGAAAAATACAGACAAATGAAATATATCATCTACTTGTGGAAAAAAAATTAAAAAAAGAGCAGCCATAAGAGATGAACAACCAAGTTGCTAGTTTGGCACGGAATTAGCTGATTTTTACACAACTCCTTATAAAAGAAAGGTGTATAACCTTTCTTTCATCAGTTATACATATATATATATATATATATATATATATATATATATATATATATATATATATATATATATATATATATATATATATATATATATATACAAGACGTTAACTGAAACGTCTCGACAGATTTTAATAAATAAGGTGTCGTTAGATTAGTTTTAATTAATTACAATTACAATAGTAATTTTAATTAAAAATATAAGCCAGATAGAGAACAATAAATAAATTTATGATAATGAACAGAAAATATGATCTATAAAGATACGAAATTTAACTGGTGATTCTGTTGTTAGGTACTTTATCACGTCTACTTGAGTTTATAGATTCTAGATACAATATTTTTTTTATATTATATAATTTATTAATAAAAATAGTTGTTTTAAAAAAACAATCTGTCGAAAATGACTAAAAACGTACATGGCATGACGGTGCTTTCAACTGCTAAAGTTGGAAGCGTTAATTTGAAAGTAGATTTTTCTATAATTTTTAACGTACTCTATAAAAATAATATCCAGTTTCACTAATAGAACACTTGTGTTAAGGATGCTAATGATTTGTACATTTTTGTAATCTTTTTTTTATTGTTACAGAGTTTTATCGAACACAAGCAATATCTACACCAGCATCTTCAGGACTCAATAGAAATACGCCAAGCTCTCTAAATAATACAGACGTAAATTTGTAAATAAATATATAAAAAATACATTCATTTTTAAATAATTATTTTGTTTTTTATTTTATACTGTATAAATTTATTATTTAAGTGTTGTTGGGTACTGATGTAAATAAATAAGATTACATACTTGCGTTTGATCGTCATGAACAATTATCTAAAGTGTCCTCAACCATAGACTATATAGTTAATACTATGAGTACAAAACAAATGTTTTATTTTTTTAGTAATATATTATACTAACGCAGAGAATTAACTGTTGTTTCGTGAAGGGAAATAATTTGTTAGTAACGTAACGTAAGTAAGTAATTAAAATAACATAGACTAGCAGGCCCATTGCTAACAGTACATTGACCTTCACGCTGTTCCCCTTAGAAACCAACATGGTTAAATCTTAATGAATTCATCATAATGGAGCTGACCTGCTTTCATCCTCACCTGTTATCTATCAGTGGTGCCCAGTAGCGTATATCGATAGCATAGAGATAGCATACTTTTATTTACGATGGACTTAAAAAATAGAGTTTCGTATCCGTATTCACTAATAATCCGTATTCGTATCCACGGATATATATTTTTAACAATCCGGTACATGACTAGTATTAACTTACTTATTTCTTCGTCTACTTTCATAGTTCGTCTGTTAGTCCTGATCCAGTTCAATGGACCGCACATTTCCCACGGTCAGCACATTATAACCCGTGCAAACAATTATTAAATATATTTCAATTGTCACAGATCAATTCACGATTGAACATCAGTCATGCAATATTTTATTTATAATTATCATAATTAAATATAAGTGCATGTCTAATTAGTGTTAAAGTAATAAACAGTTTTATTAAACTTCAAAGTATCGTTTTATCACTATCATGTCCATTGTACGGTTAACAAACCATACAGGCATATTTAAGAGAAAGCAGAGTGGGCCGTTCCCTCGACAGAATTGTTTAGTGTCCATCTCAGAATGCCAGCCAAGCTGTCAGCTATGCGCAAAAATATTTTGAAAATTACACATGTATACACGTAAAACAATACGCCAACAACAATAAGTTGAAAACAGGCTAATTTTTTTTTAATCTTTTTGAATCTAAAAAGTAGAATATATACAGTCGAGAATAAAAATTAATAAAGACTACTTTAGTTCGGACATATCCAACAAAAACATGACGAAACTAATATACCAATGCCAAAGTGGAAGATAGACCGTATTCTGTGGAAGGAGTCAACCGTCCCCGGACCAGCATATAAGTGCAGATATGCACGAAATGAATTACGAAAGTAGTTCAAGGAAGACATGCATATAAAGCTATCCATACATACATCATATATATTATACCTTAGCCTTAAAAGACTTTTTGCACTCAGTTCTCTATATCTACCTCGCAAGACTCAGCATAATGATAGAAAGATAACATATCGTTTCAACTATTTGAGCAATTTCATGCAGCTACATTATACGTTAGTTAATTAATCATTTAACTAATTTTCATTCTTTACGTCATGGCTAAATGTAGTATGCGATAGGTCGTTACAAGATACAGTCGCAGTCATTGAGACAAGATACGACAAAATCAAGCAGTGTCTATTAACAATTATGAATTGATTTGTATTCAGACACGCTCGACTCGACGACGTCCGACGATCGCAGCACTCATTATGTATTTACAGACGTGATGTGTAATTATTTATTGATTTAATTGGGTTTTTAATTAAAAGTAGTGTTTTTAAATATCTTAATTTGGACCATGAACAGAACAAACGAAAGTAAGTATTTTAAAAGTCCAAGGATAATAATTACGTACATGCGTTTAAACAACAGACATATTTAATAATTATTAATAATATTTTTGATACATTTTCATGAACAGGTATTTGTGATTAACAAAGATAAAAATTTACATATAGATTTAGATATACTCGTATATTCATTTACATTCACGTAAACATTAGAAATATATCTCTGGCACAATATACGTATTCAATAAGCGTTAGTATCACATTAAAATCCATATGAAATTATGTCATCTCGCTCAGCAAACTGCAGAAAGAGCTATGCTAAGTTTTATTGCGTGACACAAAACTAATATCCGTAGAAGAACGAGTAATCCTGTGTACCAAAGTCTGTAGGATACGTAAGCTAAATTAGCAATGATTTAGTCAAATAGCTCGAACAACCGTTAGTGAAGAGGAAAAGGGATACCTACCCCAAAGAGGTGATAGAAGGTACCGACCAAGAAGAAAACAAAGAGAACCTTTCTTTCTTCTTTTCTGCGCAAACTCCGTGTAAATGCAAAATCGTAGTGTATGAAACATAAATACCATATTACGCAATAGATGGTAGAAAATTAAAGATGATGTGGATAAATTCCATTTAATATGAGAAAACAATGTCATACCTTTTAGGTTATAAACCTAAAAGTTTTTTTTTTTATATGTAATGACTGGAATTTTGTAGGGAGCAGAGAATTGATAATTAATTACACAACTCCATTATCATTACTTTTTTATGATACTTGGCATACAGTAAACAAGTTGATGACCCACCTAAAAGTAAAAGGTAACTATTGCCTATAGATATAAAATTATTAAAATCTGTAATATTACAAGCTTGCAAATAAAAAATAGCATTAAATAAACAACCGTAATTTTACGTAACTATAATTTGCCTAATAAAACATCGGTTGCCTTGGCCGAAGTCGAAGCCGAAAATGAATTAATTGTGCCATTTTTTATAAAGGTCCGTTAGTCAACCATTTCCATTGAAACATAGCATTTAAATCATTACATAAAAAATACACGTCAACAGCAGATAACCTATTTAATTAATATGTAATTATAGTTATCTAATTAATAGTGTAATAATATTTTTACATTTAAACAACTTCATGGATACTATGTATATGAATTACGAATTGAATATGACTTACATAAAAACTTAACTCTGCATATCTACCAAACATATTTTTTTATGTAACTTAAAACAGCAAACAACCTAACAGCCCACCTGATAGAAAGTGGTGACCATTACCTATAGACACGAGCAAAACCATTGACATAACAGAGTATACTGTTTCGCCCATGATACCCCCCCCCCATGTGTTGCCATTCCTGAGGACTCAGGTGTTATTCCTCTGTATCCTGTAAATTCACTACCATATTCCACCCTTCAAACCCAAACACAACCATGCTAACATAACTGCTTCACAGTAGAAACACGAATAGGACAGAGGTACCCAAGTAAACAACTTTTGTACAAAGTTTCTCTCTTGTCCATAATGCTGGTTGCCTGCATATCTATACTATATTATAAAGATAAAAGTCCTAACTGACTGACTCATCAACACACAGCCGAAACTACAAAAGTTAAAATTGTCAAGTTTTGACAGTAGGTTCCTTTTATTATCTATAGAGGTAATAAGAAAGGACTTTGCTAAATTCGGACTCTAATGTAAAAGACTCTAATATAAGAATAAAAGTTTGTATGGAACTTTTTTTCATCTGATATATATTTAAATTTTAATTATGATTAAATAAAAGAAATGTCCTGACTGTCTCATCAATGCACGGCCGAAGCTACTAAAACTAGAAGTGCCGAATTCAGACATTACTTTCTTTTTATGACCTACACGAGGAATAAGAAACAATTTTTCGAAATCCTCCCATTAAAGTATAAAAATAGGGTTTAAAGTTTGTACAAGAAACAATATTTTTTTAATCGACTTGCTTGAAATTAATCATAATATCTCTTATTTTACAACTAATGAAACTTTATCTCATATTTCTCGAAACTGAACTCTTAATTGTGTTGAATAACAGATGAAAGTTGATGTAAAAACATTGATTTAAGAGTAAAACTAAGAAAGTAATAATAACCTTGAAAACAGAACAAAATATTTATTCTATTACTTTCTTAATAAAAATAAAAATTTGATCGAAGTTTCAGGTTGTAAAAATTAGGGAATAATATTATTTTTTTAAAACTGATTATATGAAATCGTTTAAAAATAAAATATAATTATGTATGTACTAATTTTTATCCTCACACAAAAATGAAATTTGGTACACAGATGGAATAGCCTTATTAGGATAAGGCTCATCTATTGAACGCAGGCTATAACTAGTCTAGTATGCATAGACAACGGTTACCAATTAGTGTTAAACCGTTAGCTTGTTTGCCAATTCAAATAATAGAAAAAACCGTAGTAATAATATACGCAAAATATAATACACATCACAATCTTTAAACAGTACGAGTATAAAACAAAGCTACTGTCCACGTCTGTCTGATTTTTCGCTTACTTCTTCTAAACCACGTAACGGATTTAGATAAAAGTTTCACTGTCATTTAGATTTTTATGAAAGGTATAAGTGAACCCTAGACGTGTTGACTAAATAATTAATACATGTAAAGTTTGTTGTAATACATGTATCGAAAATTATTTTAGCTCGTATTGAATTCACAACAATCGTTTCCAAACAAACACTCCGTATAAATATTAAGCATACAACATTCATAATATTTAGCATACCCAAACAATTCATTTTCAACTGCATATAATACAGAGCACGTTTACTCCACGCCATACATCCTATGGCGCAATGCAATAAGTCTTTATAATTTATTGTACTTTATTTATTTCAGATAAAGAAGCCAACGTCATCGATAAAGATAACGGCAATTTAAATAACCAACAAGATAAAACGTGAGTGAGATTTTGTTTACGCAGGTAAAGTTTTTAAAAAAACTGACTTGAGTATATTACAGACACGATTATGTTTGAAAAACAATGCCGAAATAAATACACGAATTTTAATAATTTATTGCCAAAAGTAAAAAGGACAATAGATTAGACAATATGACTATACCTAAAACATATAAATTGTGAGAAATTTATTATAACATTTTTATATTAAATTACATACAAATATATACATACTTATAATCATCACTCCTTCCATCCATTGTCACCACTATTTTCAGTGACTGTGTACTGAAAGTAGTGGTGACTGTGAAAATTTCTTTTCAATATTCTAGAACACATGTTTCTAGATTCAATCCTCCAACTAATAATCTAAATACCTGTAAGGAAGAAGATTTGAAGAAATCATGGTGTGTTACCGCAACGCCTTCAATATTACATTTTTTAACATTATTAATATTAGGTGAGTATTCAAATTTATATTATCATATATATACTTGAAAAAAACTACTTATAAGTAATATATTCTACTAGGTTTTTAGGATTTCGTACCAAAAGGTACAAACGAACCCTTATGGATACGATTTTATCCATCCATCTGTTATAGCGCTATATCTCAACAACTACTTATGCTATCGATATGAAATTGGGAATAGTTTTACATATTGTTGGTTGTTTAAATAAATATAAAAAGCTTTCGATAACAATTCCATTGATGGATTCCTTTGCTACTTATTTAGGGGGGCAGGTCAGTGGACCTACTGCGACAAATTTACTAGAAATCAACCAAGATATTTTCAAGTTATGACCTGATAGAGTATATAGTTAGCAATACAGCTGTTAATTCCCGTAACTAATAAACCTTTATCCAAATTAAAACCGGTTGATTAGCTTTTGAAAGACTTACTTTCACTCACTTAAATCCTATTAATATAATAAATGCGAAAATTTGTACCAATGAATGGATAGATGTTTGTTACTTTTTCACACAAAACTATTCAACTGATTTGAATAAAATTTGGGACGCGAATATATTACATCCTAACATAGCACTTGTCCAGCAGTAAACAGATATTGGCTGAAATGATGACTCTGATGATAATGATAGTACATAGGATACTTTATATACCGATTCACCCTGGTGAAGCCGCGTGATACAGTTAGTACTAAATAATATTTACATTAAATAAACTCTCAATTAAATAGGTACGTCAATATGGGGTATATTGTGGAGTGCATGGGGTGAAAACTGGTGGATAGGTGGGCCATGGTTTCGCCTGGCTGCAGTTCCCGTAGCAGGATGGGCCAGCGGACAAGTATTACACAAATTGACAACACTTCCACCGCTTCTTGCTGCTTTACTGACAGGAATTATAGCAAGGCACTGGGGCATCCTTGACATGAGAGAATATACTCATATCGACGCTTTCTTGAGGTACGTACAAAAGGTATTTTTAATGTTACTGATGATATAGTTTGTGTGACTTAGCTAAACGAGTATCATACCTATTTCAACCGTGAAGGACAGAAAATTTGATCTGATAGGTAAAATAGAGCAAAATATGTCGTCATAAGCGGCAACTCGTAAATGTAATGGGCGGAAAATTTATATTAATTAATCTAGTACATGGAACATCGATATATGTAATGTTTTCAAATTTACAGAGAATAGTTACTGCTTCCCAGTTGGTTCAACTTAATAAAAAGTGACATTGTTATTTGCAACTTCAAGTAGTATAAAAATATTAAAATATATATATTACCTTCATCATCATCATTTAATGATGTAAAGTAATATTAACCTTTGTCCCATTATTTAGAATTGGTGATTGGTGCACTAAGTTTCCCTCTGTCACTGATCCCTATCTTATCAACTAACAATTTAAACTCATTTTCTTTTATGCATACTTATCATCTTTCACTCGGTCCATCCATCTCTTCTTTGAATATTGAATACATAATATATAAGTCGCTTATATTTCTAATATTCATATCTATAATTTCTAATAATATTATGCATATGAGCATAAAATAGGTTTATTCATTGGGAGCTATTGATATATTAATTACATACGTGAACGTTTAAATATTAATTATTAATTGTAACTTGCGACATTAACCGATTATAGCCCATCTGTGTACAAATTTCATTTATAGTCCCTTAATAATTATTAAGTAACAAATATCAATAAACCATAGGTATATAATACAAACTTATAGACTTATGACAATAATGACATTTGTTTTATATAATAGGTACAATTAGTTGGTCAAATCTTTTCATCTTTTGAGCTGCGTAAATTGAATTGGTTAATGCCTAATGAAACGCATTATTATTATCCTTAGAATTTTTTTAATATTGTCACTGGCACAGTTCACTGAATATGTCGGTAGAGTTTCTAATAAAAAAAACACACACAGTACATCTCTTGTAGTAACAAATGTATACACAGTTGTATGGATCAGTTTTAGCCGTTACAAATATTCAGCCTTTAAATGATAACAAACTTACACGTAATACAAAGAGTAAAGAAATAAGTTTTATATGGTAACTCTTATATAAAACAACAAAATTTTCTTTAAATACTACATTACTCATTTAAATAAAAAAACTTTATACAACTCCTATCTCGTCTGATTTATTAATTACTTGTATTTAAGTCTATTCTTATTAAATATTACGAAATCCATTACCAAAAACAATGGAGCTATTTCTATTGTACCAACAATAGTTGACAAATCCCTTCTATTACCTCATTATTTATAAAAACTTCAAACCTTTTATAAATTTATTTTAGCTATGGAACTGTTTTGTCTCTTTTTTTTGTGTTATATTCTCAATTTGAAAGAAAGCGAGAAAGTTAAAATTTAATAGTTAAAATATATTTGTAGAAGGTTTTAGTTTTTATGAATAAAATAAATAGTAAATAAATAATAAAATAGCCTTTAATGAAATATAATAGTAAATACATCTTTTAAAAATAACCTAAAGAAGTATCATTTCTGCAAACAAACACAACTCTAGCTATAAATTAGTGTCAAACCTTGTCACTTAATAATTACAGATATCAAAGTCGAAACGAATTGTATTAATTTATGCAAATATAAAATGAGTATGCGTATATGATTTACGTGTAAATATTTAATTGCAAAATAAGTTAAATACTAACAAGTAAGTAGAGCTCTGACGGTAGTGATGTAACATCACGTTCTTGTGACATTCTCGTCTTTGTAGTTTGTATAGCCTATGAATTTATTTCTTTTCTTTTTCAGAAAAGTATACCCAGTTATAATTTTAGGCAAAGCGTCTTTAGGATGGGACGTGAAATACATGAGAAATAACTACAAACTGATAGCATCATTAGGTGTCTTACCTTGGGCTGCCGAAGTATTTATACTTGCTGTACTGGTCAATTTATTATTGGACTTTCCTTGGTTATGGGGTAAGAACTATATAATATACGTCATCGTAGTAACAAACAAGTATAAGTTCATTTCTATTTCCTTATATATATGTATATAGTTTACTGAAATGTAAATGTGCTTTAGGTTTAAATATTACAGAATTTGTGCGTATGTAATGATAACTGATAAAATTATTTTATTTCTACAAACGTTAACGTCTTAACAGTAATAGAGTAATTTATTACAATAAAATAATAAAATTGTAACTAGACGATGTATGTACATGAGAAATATTTAAAAAATATTAATGCTAATAACTAAGAGTCTTAAAGGGACCAATAGATGCCAAAACGGAACCAAATTGAGTGCTGTATTCGTTGTTGTATTCTTGAAGGTCCAACATAAAAACTGGTGTTCTGATAAGCCATCTAGAATTGGTCCATTTTATTTCCTACTTTTGAAATCTACGCTTATGAAGTAGTGTAATACAAAGGTGATTTAAAAGAAAAAAGTCGGCATGACCTTTTTCAGTTAGTAAGTTAGACCTTGTTCAATATACTTCAACAGAAAAATCCAAAAACTAAAAATAGGTAATTTTGTAAAAAAAATCACTATTTAGTATTTATTATTTATTTATTATTATAATAAATAAATAAAATAAGTAAAATACAGTATATTTTAAACTTGAAAACTACAATAGTAGCTGACGAGAAGTACACCGGGTTATCTAGTATTTATTGCATTGTATTTCTAAGTGTATTATTTGTTACAATAAGGAAATTCTTATTAACTTTTTCATCATTTAATAGTGTGCGCATTGTGGTATACATCGTTGGCAATAAAATAAAATTTGTCATGAATAGGTACTAAAATACAATGGAGCGCGATGTGTGCGGTACAAAGCCAATTCAATATATTCCGTTGTGAAACTGGTATTGCGAAAGATTTGAACGCATTTTCACCGCACGACGTGCACTGCAAACATAAAATAAAAATGATATCATGAAAAATTTCCAGTATTGCACATTTTTCAACACTACATTAAAGTTTATTGTGAAAATAATAACCGGATTGACATGTATTTTTGCCGAGAATACTCGACTAGTTGCAGGTAGTAGTAATAGTGCTTACGACACTTTTAATAATACCACACATAATATATATCTTTTATAATACTATACTAGTATAGAATACTCAATTCAATTAATATAATATAATATATATATATATATATATATATATATATATATATATATATATATATATATATATATTACCTAATCCTAACTTTAAGCTAAGATGTTTTTGCACATAATAAAAATATTTTAATATCTTTTTTAAATAATATATATTACAAGTAAATATAGCATTATTCTTTATGCGGGTATTGCAATGGCATAACTTGGTATCGCGCATCGCGAATACGCCTGTTTAGTTCGGATTTGCTGACAGTTTATAACCAGCAATGTTTGGAAAGGTAACTTGTTGTATCCAAATACAATAAAAGTTACATTGTAGATTTGATAACTAATAATACTTCTGTTATACAAAATGATAACCTCGTATAATAAAGTATAATTGTTTTATTAGTGTATATAAATATATTATCAAGACCATAATATAGATATCGAAAAGCTTAAATAATAGTGATAAATTATTTTATAATTTTATGTGTATAATAAAACACAGATAAACTAGGCTAGCCCAAAACGTACTGATACTAAAATGATAATTACTAGTTGGATGGTTATTATAACTTAGAATGGGTGCAATGCATAAAAGATCTTGGAAATACATTTGACACTAAACTTCCGTTTAATATGCATATTGAAAACATTGAAAACAACGCCTATAAAATGTATGGTTTTGTAACGAGGCGAACATCAGATTTCAATAAACCAGAGACATATTTATATTTATATAAAAGTCTAATTAGGTCGCAGTTTCAGTATACTATGATTATATGGAACCCGTATTATAATGAATATAAAAGCATTGTTAAAATGGTCCAGAAAAAAATGTTTGCGTTACGTACAATATAAGTGTTATTATAATAAACTTTCATATAAAACATTTTTATCAAAATTTAAAATCAAAATTATTACAATTGCAAAATAGTCGTATTCAGCTAAGTATGACATTCTTGCACGATGTTATTCATGATAGATTTAATTCTAATATTTTAACACAACATGTTTATTTTCAAGTCCTACTACGCTTGCATAATCAGATATCACGTGGACAGCCTTTGCTCTCCTACAGTAAATGTCGTAGAAATCCTGGTAAACGAGTAACATCGTGTTTATACCACAGGCTATTATACAACATTGTATAGCAGCCACATATAATGATAATTGTAAAATAACCCTTAGAAAATTAAAGGTCGCGTAGAAATATATATAATTTTAGCGGAAAGTTTGAACAATCGTGCTGCTTCTTTATTATAAATTAATAACCAATCATTCTTAGTTATTACAGATAGTTTATAGTAAAGAATATTTATTACTTGTTATTATGCCGTTATTTGTATTATTAAGCCGCGTCATGTGTGCTATGAGGTCATGACATAGAATGGGTCATTTCTTCTTTTCTCATGAGTATCATAAGAAGCAACTACGGGCGCTTGATCCATGATCAAGGGATGGGCAGAACCGTCCCTCTTAACACATCACCAATACCACTTAACACATTACAGGCAGATGCTAAACATGACAACTACAGTCAAAGCCTCCCAATAGGTGGAGGCCAATTTTCAATAGTGGACAGTAAACTGATGACACGACAATAGTTATGATTATTATTAATCATGCAGCATCTTTTTCTTCATACAATAACTATGTTATAGAGACATCGCCTCCAGATGATTACGACACTACAGATACAGACATATTTATTAGAATCATTAAAACCCTTTAAAGCAGGTATCATGAAATTTTATTCTGAATCTCCTATTTCATTAACCCAATTTATGTATTATTATTATTTAGATATATAGGTACATACAATTACTTTTTAATGTATTATATATTCATTATTTTAGGTATGTATTATTGAGTTTATCTTTAGCTGTACGGTTCTTACTCTTGAACATTTTATAATTTTACTTTAATCTTCTCAAAGGTTGACTGAAGAGATCCCTCTATATGATATGTCTACCACTGTATAATCAATCTTTTAATGTAGTATGTAATGTATGTATGTCTTTTAGTGTCCAATGTAAATTATGTACAACAATTATTTTACAATTCAATACAATTTGTACATATATCTGAGATATAATATCTCTGCATAGATACTAAATAATTGATAATCTTGCGTTTAACATATATAAAATATATAAATATTGCACAGATTGTTTACATCACAAATATTTTTTGCTAACGACTACTCTACAAAAAATATAAAAGATCCAAATCTCTCGGTTGAGACAACAACTACGTGGTGCACTTAATTTTTAGCAGTAAACGACAAAAGGTTCTTTTTAAGTAATAATTGGTAACAACACATAATTCGAGTGGAAGCTTTTAGAGATATTACAGTAATAAGAATTAAATGCTGTCAAAACAACAATCGATAGTCACAGCCATAAACTCCATATTGATAAAAAAAAATACTCGTATATAAAATGTTAAAAACTCGTGATATTCGGTCTCTCGTGACATTATATAAATAGACGAAAGTCATCGTCCGAAGGGTAAAAATAGCAAGTCTTACCCTTCGGACGATGACTCTTGTATTTATTTTGGCTTTGGCTTTTATCACTGCTTATAAAATGACACAAAATTTATTGCAGATACAAATGCCATTTACAAGATGCCAATACAAAATACCACAGACGGATAACAAAGAGATCCTATAGCGATACTTCATACTCACGAGAGTGCTTGTATTTGGTCATTTTACTTTACCGTGCCACAATAGACAAAACGCAACTCTTATAGAAGTAACGATATTTAGAAACTTAAGCTTTTCGTTAATACCTTAATAAATTTATACGCTAGCGAATCCGCAGGCGAGTATTTATTACCCACATAAACGGTAAATAAACTATTTTCAATATTTTTCACCGCATAATCATATTTCTGTTTTTTTCTAAAGTTAACTGAGAGATAATGCTATATAGCATTAATTTCTCTCTGTTATACCAAACATTTTTTTCATAGTGTGATCAATAAAGAATAAATACCTAATAAATATTCGTTATCCATTCTGAATGGCGACCTCTAAATAAACCCAGTGGTTTAGGTTTGCTTTACATAATTAAATAAATCGCAAATTTACTTTACATCTTTCTCGACTGAACTTACTTTAAACACTAAAGCAACGTTGAATAACATTATGCAAAGTAAATATACCTACCTATCTACTCTAAAGTGCTACGATGGCAATAACATCGTACTTGATGCAAAACCGATTTAGAAGAGGTCCAAATGGTGAATCCATTTCTACACGACTTAGTGACACTCGAATTTCAGATAAGTTACGAGCAGAGAGCTGTTTGAGCGGCCAGAAAATATCCTGGAACTGTTTGAAATTCCAATCAAACTATTTACACGATTTTAGACTCATACCTATATAATTCTAACTTTCTAGACTATCTAAAAATCACATCGCGTTACAAATCCAAAGTTACCACATCCAGACAAAGTAACAAGATAATAGCGGGTTATTTCCGCAAATGGCTTTCACGTTCACATAGTCCTTGACTTCATGGCTAAATATTATAATTTGTTCCTTTACTTCCAGGCTTCCTGCTGGGTTCCATATATGCGTCCGTGTCATGTGCAGTAATAATGCCATCTGTGATTAAACACAACAAACTCGCTGGCGGGAAACGCAATTGGACACAACTGATATGCACTGCTGGTGGCATCGATACAGCCCTAAGTGTCGGCGTTTATGGTCTTATCTACAGCTTTATATTCTACGATACCAATGATATATATCGCTATACAAAAGTAAAGTATTAATTAGTATTAATTAAGTAGTAATAATTAGTAAAATATTATATTGTATACCACTCATATAAATGTTTATAATTCGATTGTAATTTGAAGTTACAAATTAGAAAAACCATATTCCAACTAACTTTGAAATTTTTTTCATGGTTCATCTCTACGCGAAAATTTTCGTGATTAATACCTAATGAGAAAAACTCTACGAGTGTAAAATTATGGTTCTATTACTATCTAATAAAAAAATATATACCTACAGAAAGTTTCTATTAATGCTTAAAACGTCTTAGAAGTAGTATACTACAAGTTTGCCTGTTATTTTTTTATTTTATTTTTATAAGTTTCATAAGTTTACTTTATATGTATTTTAACCGTAGGACAACTGGATTGTATCACGTGTATTTTAGTTGAATATACTCGACACGACTGCTCACCATTAAAAGTCCCGAATGATCATGAAACTAGTCTTAAAAAAAATTACGAAGAACGAAAAACAACTGTTTAAAATATTTACCTTTAAGTCATAATAATTACCTACTGTAAATGGAGAATCAATATATTCTTAATCGTGTTAGGTAATACCTAGAAAAGTATAGATATTTATGTAGTATAATAGTACGAGCACTACATTTGTAGATTGGTAAACGTAACTGTCAATGTAAAATGTTTTTGCGAATATTATTCCAAACGAATTATTCATAAATAAAATCAACATATATTAGGTATTAAACGAGTGTGAATAGATGTCAATCAAATATTTAGGTTAACACAACTTAGAAATAATTGTCGCTTCTTGAAATCTACAAACGCTATTTAATAATCGCTCGCTCAAATTTCAATTATTTCTTTTAAAAACTGGGGTCCGAATATGGAATCATATTTACGTTTATATGTGCAATGCCGTAGGAAAATTGTTAATTAAGAGGCTTCGTCATCAATTTTACAACTAACCAATGACTCTCGCCAATATCTTCATAAATACAACCACATCTTAATTATACAATATCATTATCTACATGTACAACAATTAGTCCATTACCCTAAGGTTGTCTTTAAAAGATTGCTCTTAGCAATAAGGCCGCCTTACTGTACTTGTATAACTGTATCGTTACATTTATTAACTGTCTTGCATGTTCATTATATTGTATAATGCAAATAAAATATACTCATTCATTCATTCATATAACCCTTAAACACTGGAGATGTCAATATCGCCAAACGCATCTGAGTTGGAGGTTGTCAGTACTACGTAAAGAATAAGAATTAGAATATACTCATTCATTCTTTTATATAACCCTTAAATACTGGAGATGTCAATATCGCCACGCATCTAACGTCATAACTTGCATCAATGCAATTAGAAATTGCTGCACTACGAAACGATCGCTCGCGCCAATTCAGCAGACAGCAGTTATGGGCAACGTCACTACGACCGATCTAGGTCAAAATCGCACAATCAAGTCCAAGCAAGACATCGAAACAAATTTTGCTATTATTACCATAATGTTAAAGATAAGGCATACAGGTGTCAACAGCATTATTTATGGAAAAATAAAGGACAACAGTCGGAAAAATAGACTCACAGATTAAGGTAGGCGTGTTAGCTCAAACAGTATCCTGAAGACAATTGCTGATAAAATGGACTGTCCCATCCTTAAATATTGGGTGGGACAGGTTATCAATGCAAGAGTGTCATGACCGCTTATTTACTAACATAGGTTAAGTCAATTTATAACTAACAAAATGGGCCTTATGTAGTCTGAGTAAATAAATATTATTATTATTATATGTCTGTGCTGTTTACCCATCAAACTGCCTGACTATTACAGACTCAAAGAGTAATTATAGATTTTTGCTGAACACAGGGGTTAACTAAACCTGCAAAGTGTAAAATTAGAGCCAGCAATTTAATATTATTCGCCGCCAATGTAACCATCATAGATATCTACGAGGAAAACACCCATACATTGAATTTCGATTTACGACGTCCTTTTACTTAGATATTCATCGTTGCCGGCATCAAAATCACAATTTTAAATAATAAAATCAACATAGAAGTAACCGTATCAAATGAAAAACAAATATAATTAAATAATCATCAAAAGACGCATAATTAGTATTGAATTTTAAATGTTGTATGGTCATTTTTGTTATTTAAGAGCTACGTTCTTGTCGTTGGAGTTCTTAGATGTTATAACATACAAAAATACATCGTTGAATATTGAACCCCATCATTACGATAATTTAATCTGGATACGACAGAATTACTATATAGTATTATATTATCTGTGATTATATACCTACTGGTAATTTACAATTCGATGTAAAGAATAAAATCACTAGTGCAATTCCTTTTCTGTATCAGCGATTGCATTAGTGATCTTATTCTTATTTTCTCTAGAGAATACGTTAGGGTCTAGAATAACTTATTATTTGAGACTAGTTGCATACCCTGGCTTCGCCTGTGGTCATATCGTAACGCTGAATTTGATAATAATAATATTGTTTTATTGTTAAAAATTTTATAAGTATACATTATATTTGAACAGGAATAATAATATTTATATTAAAACTTAGTTTAGAAACTTATCTAATTACAATACAACAATAAATTAAAATTAATATAAAATTCCTTAAATACTAATACTAATTATAAGTAATCCCCCAACGCATCACATCGAGGCAGCGTACCCAAGATACTGGCAGCATTACCTCTTTGGATTGCCAAACTTATGTTTTGGGCAAAGTAGCTACCAGCTCTTGGGTCACCAGTAACCTCGATGAGGCGCCCTGCGATCGTCCGAATATTTTAATGTACTCGTAAGAACAAAAAATACACATAAGTTAATCCGGTTGATCTTAATTAAAAAGTAATGTTGTTGTTACATAAAATAAAGAAACACAATAAAGTGACAGAAAACCCGACTGTAAAATAAATAAAATAAAATACCCATGTTTAAATAAAAAGTTTCAGAAACAATATGACATTTTTGGAATATTTTATTTTCAACAAACGAAGTGAAATAATGTAATTTGTTACAGGCGTCTTTGACGATATTTGTAGGAGTAGCGCTCGGTATTATGTGGGGCTCTTTAGCGGGTCTAGTACCCCACTCACAAGATTTCTATGTCACGGAGTTGCGAGTTCTCTTCGTGTTGATCGGTGGTCTCCTTGCCAACTTTCTTACATCACTATTCGGATGGGCAGGCGCAGGTTAATAAATATTTACATCACACACCTAATAAATTTTAAGATAATGTTAAATATGGTACTCAAATTATATAGTTTGTAAGATACCCTTTACAAATAAAATATTCGTTCACATCCACCAAAAGAAAACAAGAACATAAGCTTAATTTAACACAGTCATGGTAATTTTAAGGTGTACCTTATATTTGCACACTACGAGTAACTTCACAGAGTTTATCAAGTAAATGAACAATTTATAAATATTTTCTTATTTGCCTGATTATATCTCGTGGTTTGTTTATTACACAAGATAAAAATCGATCAAAAGGATTCACTAAGTACACAATGCATTCTCGTCGACGTATAAGATATATAAAATTAAACGTACCAAGGACGGTCCCAAATATGTATTATGTATTGTACATCAGAGCTTGTACTTTTTAAATAAAAGATAATATTTGTATGTAGATGATGTGATATGACTAAACATAAACATTTTAAATTGTTGCGTTCATATTTATAAACCTGTATACGATATTGTGTCCCCACATAATGTCGTTATCATACGTCTAGACGGAGTGTCGGCATTTCTATGGAACTTCGTTCTATCAAATTGGAATGTCTATTCATGTTTCGCTTTATTATCCACCATTTCTAACACTCTCCTGCGAGTTTTATCAATAGTTTGTTATAGTAAGGCATGCTTAATATTAATTAAGTATGAACATAAGCTAATAATTCCCTGTGACTTCGTTTTGGTTTGTTTTTGTAAAAATTAAATTTGAAAGGTTCTAATTGAATGTTAAACGTCACGATTATTTCACGATATCTCAAATAACTTTAAGTACTACGACCTTGACTAACACAACATTAATCATACTCGTACAAGAAACTATTTATTCCATATCCCAATTTTCTGGCTTAAGTCGAAGTTAGTAGTAAGCTAAGCTTTGTCATCACATTAAAATCTACCTATTTTCAGGAGGCGTTGCAGTGCTAGCTTGCAACGCCACTGCAGCCACACACTGGGCGCGACACGGTTGGAAACTTAACAACAATTCCGCATCAACAACGTACCGCGTATTATGGGCTGCGTTTGAACCTACACTTTTCACCTATACAGGAACATTTTTTGTGGTTAACTATCATTTTCTTTATCATAATTTCATCACAAAATAATCATGCATGTACAATCATTCATTTTGAATGTTATAGATTTCCGTTACAAATTTTATTGAATTTTCTTTAGCAACCTCGTCTAAGAAATCTGTAAAATTGTATACTAATAACTAATTTCCAATTTAAAAGGGAGACCTTTGATTATAAGAAACAAGGCAACGATATTAGCAAATATCCCTGAGCACTCGGTCCCAACTTATTTTATAAAGATATCGTTTTTCTGATTTTACCCTTCCCAGAAATAATACCGGGACTTCATTTGTTCGAAATACTTATTTAACAATATCAGTTTCTTACATACACATTTATATATAACATACAACATCAGTGTAAGCATAATGTGCATAATGTATATCGTCTCCCTGACAATTTTGTATCTCTTATCAAATGCTTGTGTACATGTATTTAAATATCTATCACACACATTACGTCGTGACAATCATGCCCGTCAGATGATAATAGAACAAAACTTATACAAGAATAATATCACTCATACATTTACCTCTGTAACTACTGTAATTTATGGCATTTAGATAAAAACAAAAGCAACAAATTCACAGAAATCCATACACAACTATCATAATAATTTATTATATCTTATATTGACACACGTAACTCAATTTATTTTCATGTACTTACAGATCAATACGTCTGTATCAAGGCTGTTATTAGGCTTCGCGATCCTGGCTGTGTGCCTAATAGTACGACTGTCAGTCACGTTCCTCGTCTGCTGGAATTTTACGCTTAAAGAAAAGATCTACGTATGTTGCACGTGGATAACAAAATCAATTGTCGAGGTATATTATATGTGTTCATGTATATTGAATGAAAATATTGTGGATTTGTCCATGCGACACCTATAAAAATTATGGGTAATTTTTTATGATACGTAAAATAGTAAATAAGCTGACCTACCTGATAAAAAGTCATAACTATTGTTTATTAACTTGACAGTACTATGAATATCACGGAAAGCACAAAAATATCCATAGTACTGCTCACATCTATGCCATTTTTGGGAACTATGATTTTACTCCATATTGTAAGATTTCACTTTAAACCAAAACACAACCATGAAAACACAATTGTTTTACGACATAATAACAAGTGATAAGTCCGTAAGAAGTAACGATTTCAAGAAGGTTTTTTCATGGTGGTACCTTACATCCCTGGTCAACATTTTAGATACTTTACGGAGAAATAAAGAGTTCCCTTGGGATAGTTGAAAAACTATAGTAACTTATACAGCTTAGTACACAACTTACTTAAGTAAAGTCATTTTGACCTAAAGCAAAGAGTGAGTATTTGTTAATTTTGGTCCAGTATTCCCAGACAGTGGATGCAGGTGGCTCAGAAGCGTTCTTTATGGCAGTCTATGGGGAAGGCTTATGTCTAACAGCGGATAATGTCTGAAATGATGATTCCCAGATATAATAAATAGATAAGTACATAAATCGATACATACTCGTACTAAATAGGAATAACAAATACCACGCGGACAAAGTCAGCTAGTTTGTAATATATATAATATGAGATTATTACGGCCTATTTCTCTGGCTAAGTAATACCTGTTGCAGCAGTAATTCTATTAAACTACTACTTGCTTTCCAATTAACTAAGTATATTGGCGCTTACGCGGTTTGTTCGTCAATTAAAAGATTATACTTAGATATTTTTTTTTATACCAATGGCAAACAAGCATACGGCCCACCTTATGGTAGCCTATGAACGCCTGCAATACCCGATGTTTTACGCGCGCATTGCCGACCCTGAAGAAACCTCTTTACCCCCCTTTTGAAGAACCCCATGCTGTAGTCTCTCGGGAAAACCTCGGCAGGGAGCTCATTCCATAACCTGAGTGTTCGTTGGAGAAAGCATCTCTGAAACCGCGTTGTACGCGACCATTTAGGCTGTAAGGTATGAGGGTGAACTCCCTGCCGATGGCGAGCCGTACGATGATAGAAAGTGGCCGTAGGCATCATATTGAATAATTCCTCTGAGCACAATCCGTTGTATAAGCGGTAGAACACGCAGAGTGAGGCAAAATTATTATATGCTAAATAATTTTAGCATATTCCCAACTTATACCTATACCAAAGCCATATTAATCTTAATTGTTTAAATTAACAACTGGCATCTCAATCATAAATTAACAACAAGAAACAATGTCTCTTTATTTTTTCTCTGAAACATGAAACCAGTAGGTATAATATTCATACTAATACTAAGAACTATTATAATCTGATTTAAAACAATAGATATACATCCTTATTAATATCATAAATGTGACAGTAAATTTGTTTGTTACCTCTTGGCATTTTAACGGCTCAACCAATCCCATTAAACTTAGTATAGACGTACTAAGCTACTTTCCAACAGGTGGGTCATCTATTTGTGATTTCCTGTAGTATAAAAAACCAAATGTATAAAAGTCGCTATATTCCTAAAAGGTTAATAAAGTTCTCGACACAACGAAGTTCTTTATTAGCGTTTGGACAAGGAACTAAAGTTCCCATACACTCATTATTCTGATGTGTTTGTTGTTATCATAACGTAATCTAATTTAATTCAACAGTAGATGTTATGATATACCCTTACTTCCTCCCATATCGTATAGAATTTGTTGTTAATTTATTTATGCAATTAGAACGTAATTAGAATTACCTAACTTAGATATGAATTTTATAGTTTCGGAACAATTTTTTCGATAGCTCTTTAACTAATTTCACATTTGAGATTATGTTGCTAAAGTTATAATTTTGTTTTTGAGAGTGAATCAATCAAGAGATCGAGACATACCACACAGCGCTATCTACATAATTTCAAACAAAGCATAGCTTATATTACATATAATACGGAGATTAATATAAATACAAACCCGCAACATTCGGAAGGAGAGAGAGTAAATTTAACTACTATACCATTAACCCCGCCTAGATAAGTGGCAAACAAATCCATCGATGGAATCGTTTTCGCTAGCGAGTCCATGAGATAGAATGAAACATCAGATATCTCTATCTCATTCTGTCTCCAGGACTGAGTGATAACGATTCCATTTATGTGTTCATTTATCTATGGAGCTGTGTCATCAATATCATCAGATGTCATATACATAGATAGTTCATCGTCCAGTAACAAAGAAACAAATAAAAAATGTACCTATTTTTATTACTTATACAGTATAAAATCGTAATCGTATATTTTACCACTGAAACAGAACATTTTCACCAAAGAAAGATGCTTAGAAAAACAACAAATGCATTTAAAACGTGTCTTCTGTTTAATTTTTTTTTAATGGATAATAATGAAATGGTAGCGCCGCCTGCGCTAACAGTATACGATGGCGAGGTACCAGTGAGGGATGATAGACGATACCCTGGCAGGCCGACCTCCATCTGGACACCATCGTGCTGAATTCCAGGTGTATTCATCACGATGGGCTAACTGACATGCATATTCATTCTCATCTGTCATTCTTCACTAGTGCCCTCCAGCGTATACCGTTAGCTCAGGCGGGATCACCATTATATTATCATCCATTAAAAAAAACTATTTAAGCACTTTTCTTACTTGGTGTTACTATAATAACGACCTGTAAATGAATCACTTTCCTCTCTAGTCTAGATTCTCGTATTATATTTTGTATGAGTAATTTTCATCAATTAGAAAATTAACTATCGAAAAACTAAAAGATACACTATTTTATTTTCACTAGAACACCACTGATATAACTAAGTTTAGTAAAATACATTACACAATCGACACACAGCTTGTGCTATAAATTCATCGATTTTTAGAATAAAATCCGCTCTCAGGTGCTTTCTGAGAAGACAGCTGCAGTTCGACTGGTGCAGAATAATAAACATATATTAGTATAATCCAGATGCATTGACTACAGCTGTTGCTTTAGTTTGGTTTCTTCAAAGACAATTTATTTTATATTGATGAAAATGTCACATATATTTAAATAAAAGCATGCTAAAAATAATTAATTACACTGGGTCTTAATCTAGAGAGGGTTATTTGATAATAAGTAGAATGTATTGCATGTAAATAGGTATGTAATTACAAAAAATATATATTATATTATATATATATATATATATATATATATATATATATATATATATATATATATATATATATATATATATATATATATATATATATATATATATATATATATATATATATATATATATATATATATATATATATATATATATATGATAATTTTTGTTTTTTAATAAAAAAAATTATACAACATAAAAATATTTTTACGTTAACTCAAATAATAAAAACTATCGTACACTTATAAAATTTGTAAGTAAATGAATATTAAAAAAATATTAATACTTTGTTGGACCACCGTTAGCATTGATGATAGCTTGGAGTCTCTGCGGCATCGAATCAACTAGTTTGAAAATATAAGAAGACGGTAACAATGCCCATTCTTCGCGAAGCGCAATTTTTAGTGTTTCTTTACTTGAAATTGGTCGATTTCCAATTTTATTATCGAGATAATCCCACCCATGCTCTATAATATTAATATCATCTCTAGGTATTTTGGACGTTAAACAGGATCCATGCTTTAGTATTCCATGCTTTATGTTTAGGGTCATTATCTTGTAAAAATATCCAATTATTGTTAAAACCCATTTGAGCTGCACTAGAGAGAAGATTCTCTTTTAAAATATTAATATACGTTTTGTGATTCCTAATTCCATCAATAAATGCAAGTTTTCCCACCCCAAAAGCACTCATGCAACCCCATTAAATACTGACCCACCACCGTGTTTTACCGTTGGACATAAATTTTCTTTCTTATATTCCATATTACTTCTTCATACCATATGATGTCCATCCGATTTGAAAATATTATATTTCGATTCATCTGAGTAAATAACAGTTTGCCAAAAATGATTTTTTTCATTAATATATTTTTTTGCGAATTCTAATCTTTTTTTCTATTAATATCATTTACCCAATATTTTTTACGCGCAGTTCTTCCATGATAATCGTTACTACGTAATACGTTTCGAAGTGACAGAAATATGGCAATCATTGATATTATTAATTTCTTTTGACTAATTTTTGGATTTTTTTTTTACACAATTTATCCGATCCAATCGAGGCGTGAGTTTTGATGGACCTCTGGGTTTGTTTTTTAGTGTTTTAGTAATAGAAAACGATCAATTATCTGTACGGTTGAACGTGGTCTATTGACAAATTTTCTCACATAATGATTTGCATTGATTATGCAAATTAATAATTATTTTTCTCTCCTCTTCACTCGTTTCTTTTGCTTTACGACCCATTTTTGTAACTAAACACGTCTATACTTGTCACGAGTGCAACTAAAACGTCTAATATCTATGCCTACGTATTAAAAAAATTCGATTGAATAAATGATTTATACAGAATTTCATTTAAAAAACAATGAATGTACGAATACTTTTTGTTTGTCATTATTTGCTTAGTTAACGTAAAAATATTTTTATGTTACATATTTTTTTTTTTAAAAAACAAAAATTATCATAAACAAAGTGCGGGAATGTTAAACTATTTAACAGTATTGATTTAAATTAAATAAATAGAGGAAAGTCTATCAAATTCGTATTTTTTTTATTTAACCCTAGGTGTACGAATAATTTTTACACTCACTGTATATATATATATATATATATATATATATATATATATATATATATATATATATATATATATAACACAACACAATGTAAGAACTACCAACAATTCAACGCCTTTAGCATGTTGGAAACGATTACATGACAATTTAAGACACATTGCTCTGTCTAAATGTACCTATTATTTAGGCGACTGATACAGAAAAGTGTGCTTTAGACCGTGGTAGGTAGAGCTTAGTTCGGAGGTAGATGATGCTACATGATATATCAATAGCTATTTATTGCTTAATTTTTTTTTTCTGCAACTACGTCCACGATAGCCATTGAGCGTTTAAAACGCTAAAAGGTAACAAGCTAACAAACTTACTTTTAATTCCTTATTCATAGAATATTATAGAATTTGTTTTTTTATTTTAACAACAAACGTTCCAAAAATATCACACTTTTCTGGATATATATATATATATATATATATATATATATATATATATATATATATGTTTTAAACAAAGTCAAATTAAAAACTATGGTACTAGTAAATTTTTACTATTATATAACATTTTTTTTCATTACAGGCTGTGTTATGCCCCTTGGCATTAGTCACATTGATGTCATCTTATGTACATGACGACATACGACTGAAATACGCGGAAGATATGATGATACTTACAATACAAGCAATTCTTATCACTACACCTATTGGCTTTCTCTTAACAAACTGTATAGAAGAAAAGCAGAGTATATATCAAGAGTGAAAGTCTGGTAATTAACTTTATATATACAAATGGAAAACTATAAGTTCATATCCCACAATATGTACTTTTTTCTGTTTTCATTTTACATTATCCATACTTACTATTCTATACATGCTTTATCTGTAAACACTTACAATACATGAAGGTTGACAGAGATGAAACAAATGTTCAAAAGTTTTTAACTATTTATTTGTACCTAAAACTAAGGCAACTACAACACACTAAATTTCAAATGTACCAAATACTTTTTTAAAATCTTTTCAAATAATTTCTCAAATATTTAACTCATTTCGTTTATAATTTTTTTATTACAACGGTTCAAAAATATCACACTTTTCGATTAAAAAATATTTTAAGATTCCTAAATGACAGATTTTTTTAAACTTCGTATTTATTATTTATTTACATATTGGTAATTATTTTGTGCTAATTAATCTTGTCATTAATTTGGTTTTTTTAATAATTTTATTTTATTAAGGTAAAGAATTACAGAAGAAAAGAATATATATCACGACTAAGTTGATTTATGTATTCAAATAAAAAAATCATAGACGAAATATGTACTTTTTTAGATGTTTTCTTTTACTGAAAGCCATGCTGTTAATCTCTCCTAATGGATCTGTACTGACAGACCCGATTGCTGTTGCAGTTTTACATTTCAACCAGTTTTTACACTATTTATACTTGTACCTAAAACTAATGCACTACAACACACTAAATTTCAAATGTATACCAAATACTTTTTTAAAATTTTTCTACTAAGTACAATATTTAACCCTTCTTTGCATAATGGTAGAAATTTCCATCATAACATTGAATGCCCAAAAATTTTATAAAAGAACAATTTCGCTTTAAGTTGATCGTGTCTATATACTATTTTAATGTCCATTGTAGAAAAAAAACATGACGCGCTATGACGCTTTTTTGCACAGGTAGATAGAATTTACGAAAATAATATAGGCTATATTACTTGCTTTACTTGATTTTCTTGATTAGCTTTCTATAAGTAAGAAAAAAAACCATTAATTTAAATCGTTTGAGTAATTTTTGTGTTTATCTGTTATAAATAAACAGTCAAATCTTTCAAAGGTCAAAAAATGGCAAAAGTAATACAAAAAAGTAACACATAATATATCATAACATATGATAAATAATGGTTGAAAAGATGATGATGTTGATAGGACAGATAATAAATAATAATTGTCCAAGAGTATATTGATAGATGAAAATAAACTATCGAGAGTGACCCTCACTGAAGTGCCTTCCCACATGATGAAAGCGCTCAACAGATATTTTGAGCTATAGTAATTACAGATTAGAGTTAAAGAAAAAAAAGTGTATTGATGAGTGTAACTAGTTAAAATTAGCGTGTAAGCGATTAGAAAGTTTTCATCTGGTAAATATATAATCTGGTAATGAAATACTGAGTAAAATCAAAATCATTTTAAGAAAAAGTATGTATTTTGTATATTGTTACATTATACGAGTACTTGTTTATTTACTCCAATTCTGGACCAATTTAAATAATTCTCTGTCGTTTTAATTTGAAAAGTTTTATATAGTTCTTATTTTTATATAGTTGAGGTAAGTCATAAATGAAGTATATGAAATAACATACAAAAAATACAGACATAAACAATGAGATCTTACTCCTTTATTTACGAAAAATGGAATAGTAGACACCTTTTGTAAAAGACAACTTATACATTACTGTCTTATATATTATTGTCGTCATATAATGTGACGACATGGTCGTCGAAAAATTGTTATTATTATTTATAAAGGAACCAACTTTAATTAACACGAGTTTAATCTTGAAGCCATATTTTTTCAGAGCCAGCTTTGACGTTTCTGATTGAATTGAGCCTACACCAAAGAAAACTTGTCAACTTTTATATTGATGTCACGTGTTCGTAACAAAATTCTATAAATGAAGATAATTATTATAATGTCGTCAACAAATATTTTATATAAAATGTTGAGAATCGTATTTCCGTTTTTTATGGTAAACATGAAAGAATTCACAATTTGCAGATATTTAAGTACGAGTACCTACTCCTTTGAAGAATACAAAACCCCTTGGTCGTACCATAAGAATAAGGAATATTGGATATTTTCTGAGTATTATTACAGTCGTTTATCCAGTAGATGCAAAAAGCTTCCATTCCCTTTCATTTCCTAATGAAAGCTTGAGCGTCTTGCCTTATTAATAGATAGAAATAATTTTGGCGAAAACAACTCGTTTTCAATCGAATTAATATCATGTACTCAACCATTATATTTTAATTACAAAAATTTCGTGTTACGATATTTGTTCATGTTAATCTCCAAAGCTACTCAACCGATTTTATTTATACAACTGATTTGAAATTTTTCAAATTAATATAATTAAACTACCTACTACAAATTTAGAGAAAGATTTTTTCTATATCCTGACAAGAAAAATGTACTCGATAGGTAGCAGTAGGGATAAAAAATATTTGCCAGATAAGCTAATAATAAATAGAGCTATATAAAAAATCAATTACCAAATATATGTAAAAACATCACTTTAGAACAGCTGCATCCATTTGACTAATTATATTTTCTTGTACCTATTTATAATTATTAGGACAAGTTTTATTATAGAAAATATTTGCAAAATCATACGAAAAAGTGAAAAATTAGAATTAAAACATCTCAGTGAGTGAGTAAGTAGTGAGTAAGAAAACACTAAGAAAATATTTACTTATCATTTTATTTCAATGTACGGTTGAGGAAAGATTTGGTCTCATTGTCTCTATATATGGAATTGTGGAATGTTCTTCAAATAGTGGTTGATGTGGCATAGAAAGGATGTATTCATACGCCACTTATTTTGAAATTGTTTCAAACACATAATCGAAATATAATTTTAATATTTACTATAACAATTTGCCATTACAATTTTTCCAAACATCTATTATAAATAAATGTTTTAATATTGGTGACTATCCAATGACTGACTTAATTATTAACACAGAAATTAACAAGTTTAGAAAAACTTTATAGAAATAAAAACTCAGTATTACTTTAATCGCATAGTAGATGTAGTATCTTATAGTAAGCGCAAGTACTGTGTTTATAATCTATCTTAAGAAACAGTATACTCTGTTACGTCCATGGTACTATTCATGTCTATAGGCGACGGTTACTACTTTTCATGAGATGGGCCGTCAGGTTGTTTATCATTTAAATTGCATTAAAATAAAAACAAATTAAAGAGACTTCTTCTAGTTTTTAGAAACTACACTATCTGCTTGATTTCTTTACATTCATTGATTATTATAGGTGCCTAATATTATAATTCTATAATAATATTATAATTAATGTCAAATATAACATAATTATGTTATAAATTATTATTAAACTGCGGATGAAGTAGATTATTAGTACGTATTTTATGGTTTGAAAAAATCTTGTATCTATGTACACAGATTTCAAGATTTTTAAAACAAATAATTAAATTAATTAAAATATTGTGGTGGTACCTCATTGAGATACAACAAAATAAAATAATAAATACCTAAGTTTTTAAAACATTATACTGCTTATTTCTAAAACGATATTATAAACTCCCATCTAGCGGACATTTATAAAACTACATGAAGCTAAAAATATTCAACACTAAGCAGCTACACTAACCTAAGCAGGCTGGTTCTGAATACAAGTCCCTCTATTGCCATTTTCACAAACTAAAATAATAAAATATCTTGTATAAGAAAACTTTGTTTAAATGAAGTTTATTTGTTTTACGAACATACAACATAGATGGCATTCGATTTTCTTTTTCTAATCCACTTCTTAATTAGTAACCTAAAATTACAGGTATATTCACAGAAAATTGTACAAGAATATAGTTTATTTCAAATTAATATTTTCTTTCTTATGCACAATTTAGAATACTATTTCTTTTCAAATATTTTTTTATACAACTTAGAATGACAAATAAGCTCAGAGCTCACATGATTGAAAGTTTTTTTTTAGGCAACTAAGAATAGCAAACAAACTAACGGCTCACCTGATGGAAAGTAATAACCGTCGCCTATAGACATGAGCAGTACCATCAACATAACAGAGTATACTTTTTCGCCCATGATACCTCCCATACGTTGCCATTCCTGAGGACTCAGATATTTCCTTTCCTCTGTACCTTGTAAATTCACTATCATATCCCACCGTTCAAACTAAAACACGGCCTTGAAAACTAAATGGAAAAACATAAATGGGATAGAGGTACCCAAGCAGACGACTTTTGTGCAGTCTCCATCTGGCAAGTCTTAAAAAAACAAAACACATGTCCCCTACTGACCTACCCCCTCGCTCTACTGGGTACTGATCTTTTCCTTTAAAGAACATCACATGGAGAGACCTATACAGACAATACAGACAGAGGTAAGTAAAACAACATATCAGAAGTTTTAAAGATAAAATAAAAATTATTATATAATGTTTTATATTACTAACAGTTACCTACTTCAATAGATATCCGGAAAACGGAAAAATAATGCAACTTTGTAATAGAGTAGTTGAATAATCCAGTAAAAAATACATTACACCTTCTTCAAGGTTCATTTTTATTTTCTTTTATTTTTTTACATTTCGAAGTTACCTTACGAAATGTGGCCTTTCGCCTTTATATATTTTTTACCTTTAATACTTTACATTCATATAATGTTAAAAAATAACTATACTAACTAAAAGAAGGTAATACTCATGGTGTCCTTAATAGCTTGCTACATAAATTATATACTTAAATAGTTTAATGAAAAATTGATATAGATAAACATCATCATCATGTGGGACAATTTATCCTAAATTGTCCCACATATATTAACAGCTCGCCACGGGTGTACTAATGAATAAATTTAAACCAAATCTTCCCTTTACAGTACGATTATCGACGTAAGACTTTAAAAATTTTCATTTAGGTATTTATATCACTCTTTAGGTTTACCTTGTCCTAACAATTATAAATACAACAAAAAAGAAGTAGCCAAATAAGTGCAACCATCCTAAAGTGATGCATTTATTGAAACGATACATTCGGCAATTGATTTTTATTTATATAGATAGATAAAATTATTAAAAAGACCACATATTTGACTAAATATGTGGTCCCTAAACATTTGATACATTAAAACAAAAAAACAGTAAATAGTCAATCAGATATTTAATTATTGAACTCGCCGCTACCCAATCTCAATAAGATCTTTTTCTAAATTCAATACCCAAATTAAACATGGAATAAAGTCTTTTACTTAATGCAAGATGTCTACTGTAGACAAACTACACTTCATTATTTTTTTTATTTTAATTTTCGTTTATATTTTGCAATTACGCAATGCAATGCAAAACGATTTACGTTTAAATTGTTAAAAAATTATGTTTGTGTATTTGAAAATTAACGCACAGTTATATCACTGATGAATATATCTTTTTAATAAGTACCTTATTATTCAATGACCTATTTTATTAATTAATAGCAACTATAAACAACACAAAAGGAAAACAGAGAGCATGTGACAACAGCCTGTTAGTGGGTTACAGAGTTTCATAATTGTTTTGAACATTAATACTCTTATGATAGTACGCTGTCATAGGACCTCTTTAATTAACAACAACGACGATCCAAATCGCCGCAGGAACGAGCGGCGAGCACTCAACTCAAACTGCGATGCGTCCGCGCCAGTTCGTCCAAACCCCGACACTCGCCTGCACACTCTAGCTAAGAAGATATCGCTCTCCAGCTGTACAGTGCTTATAAGTGATTATTTAAACCCTGGAAAACACTGGGTAACGAACACCGCGCCGCTGTCCGATTCTCACTTCCAATTCAAGGTTTTTACGTGATCAAATCACATAAAGGGCCTCCGTTGTCACGTAATCGCCAACTTGTTTATTATTTTTTATCGTTGTTCTTTCACCTTCGAAATAAATATCTTATCGAATTGTCAACGTTTAGTATATCAAGTCGTAGCAAGATTTTAGAAAAGAAAAATCCTTCAGTGACATTTCATTGAATATCAACTATTATGAATTGATTGGAACGGTTAAGATGAAGACACGTGATCGTCGTATAAAACAGGACATACGAAGACCAAAACAAGAGAAGAAAGGAGCTAAACAAGATAATCGGACAACGAAAGCTCCACAAACCAGTGGAGCCACAGGATCGGCCCGGCTGCACTCGAAGCGGTCAGGTGTAGAAGCTGTGAAACTGCATATCCAAACATCAGGATGTACTGGTAGATCGTCTCGCTCTGCAACAACGGTAATTCTGAAAGCGTAATTTTATTTATGTTTTATTCCATATCTTCATGAATAAGGACCTATAAAACTTGATAGAAAAACTATCTATACTTAATTAAAAAATATTAAACAGTAGGAAAAAATAATATAAAAACCCTATTGAATTATTATTTTTATTTTCTGTATTCTTTATAAATGAAGGAAGATAAATGGAACGCAGTCTATTCAATGTTTGTATTATCATTATATGCAAAAATGACAAATACAATAAATAAAAGTCAAAGGTATCTTTACTTATTCACACAAAATTTCTTGCAAGAGATTTTTTGGTAGAGAAATTTGAATACCAAAGATGTCTACTTACCATCTACACAGTGTATTATCTATATAGATGATTGATATGTCTCATCTCATTTCGTGCTTACGCTATCACAACTCATCATACATAACAGTACTAAAGATTTTGGACTATTGACCCTTCTCTATCTAATAAAAAATTAAGCTAAAAAGTTTTGAATCTCACAATTAATCTTAGACAACCCGCAATAGCTTTACACAATATTTTTTTAAAATAAAGTACAATCCATGTACATAGAGTAACGCTTATAATGTAGCATTCTATAAGTGAAAAAAAAAAATTAAAATCTATAAAGTAGTAAATAATTTGGACATTATCTATAATTAAATTTTTTTAACATTATACACCAAAGGGAGACTTTGTACAATAGTCATTTGCTTGGGCACCTATGTCCCATTCGTGTTTCAACTGTGAAGCAATTGTGTTTGCATGACTATATTTCGATTTAAAAGGTGAGATATGGCAGTGAATTTACAAAGTACAGAGAAATAACACCCGAGTTCTCAGGAGTGGCAATGCATGGGAGGTATCATAGACGAAAAGGTATACTCTGTTATATCCATGGTACTGTTCATGTCTATAGGCGACGGTTACTACTTCTCATTAGCTGGGCCATCAGCTTAGCTCGCCAGTCTAAGTTGCATAAAAAAATTATCTACAAACAAACACACAAAAACTCAGATTTTCTTTAAAATTTTAGTTTAAATAAAGATTTCGCACATTTTTCAAATACCAAAAACTAAGTAAAACATTTCGATCATTGATTTTTCTACTAACATTGTTACATATTTACAATTGTTACATACTCATTAAAACAAAATTACAGATATTTGTTCAACTGCCTTGAGCTCTTAATTTTATCTATGTAGACAATAACTGCAAAAAAATAATCCCTCTTTTCTATATAATTCTATGTGGTATAATTTAAAAATGTTTAAAGTAATATAAGTACTGTGTTACTAATTTAAACAAAATAAATAGCATAACATTATCAAATTTAAATAAAATAAATAAATTAACTGGATTAATAATTTAAGACATAAAATAGTTCAATAAGAAAATATAACAATATATCAAAATACGAGAAGATATGTATTTAACTACAAACTGTACGAATGAGTGGTAATTCAAAATGTTAACATACAAATACATATTGCCCGATAGATAAATAATCAGACACATAATAAATATAAAAAATAATATGCAGTCAGAAGGAAGAAATACTCAGATTATCGACTTCGGTACGTAAATCATGTGATCCGTTTATCACATTTGTCAAGATCGTGACAAACAGAGATTATCGACTCTGTAACAAAACTATACCTTATCTCCTTTAGAAGGACAATAGCAAAGAATATACAAAAACGTGAACTTAACAATATTTTATTGTAAATTTTAATGTAACCATGGCATTGTTGAAATGTATTTCTATAAATATCTTTAATTATCTAAAAAGAAATATTTCAGTTTTTCAGAAAGTTTTCAGTATGACAAAAAAACACAGACAGTTCTTATTGCCATAAATTTTTTTTTTGTATTTTACAAAACGATAAAAATTTTGTACGCACGTAGCATGGCTGTCCTATACTACATACTACCAGTTAAGGCACTTTCATTGTCATTCTTATCAAGCCTGACTGAAAATTTATAATACTCGTTATACTTGAGGGAGGTTTTTTCAAACACGATGGGGCTCTTCGACATTTTTTCGACTCCTATTTTTGCTGTATACGCATGGCTGTGTTTCGGTTTAAAGGGTGGGTTACTGTTATAGGAGTATTCTTTTCTCACCGTATATTCTATGACGTGCAGACGTGTGACGATGTTAATGTCTATAAACTACAATTACCGTATGACATTAAATTAACTGGTAGCTTATTAGACATTTCAAAATATAGAAACACGTGTAATTCTACTACATGACTCTGTTGAAAATTAAAACTAATATACGTAGAATATTCTGGTTTAGCCAAATTTTAATATGTAAACGACTAAGCCACGTTCCACTCTATATAAAATTAAAAAAGATACTTAAGTAATTAAAATAATTAGACAACATGTTTATAATTTGCTCTTGAAAGCTTGTTTTTTTTTTTGGACAAGTTTTATTTATTTACAAAAACATAAATAAACCGGTTTCATTAACTACAAAAATACATAATGAGAATAATTATAATCAGTAAATAATACTGCTGTTAAGAATCCGTTAATCTAAATCTAATTAATAATACTATATTACTAATTATAATATGATATTATTTAAAATATTTTTTATACAACTTAGAATGGCAAATAAGCTGATGACCTACCTGATGGAAAGTAATAACCATCGCTTATAGACATAAAATATACTGTGTCGTCCATAATACCCTTTACGCGATACCATTCTATTCATTCTTAGAACTAAGGTGTTATACCTCTGTATCCTGTAATTTCATGGTTGTGGCCATTTAGTTCCACAGTCTTACTATAACATTTTTTATTCTAATTTTTATTATAAGAACAATGGTGCTAAATACAAGTATTTTATATAATGTCATAATTAATATAATGAAGTTCCATCACGACAAAAAACCAACAACAGATTAAGATTATATCAATTTAATTAACATTTTACATCAATTACGATTTAATATAATATGTAATACCTACAATTAAGAACATAATGCTGTAATGAATCAGCCATATAAGAAGCATGTATGATAAATAATACAAAAAAAAATCTTAAAGAGAAGAGTGACAGAGCAAATTAATGTTCAATGTGAATCTCATCAATTTACAGCTAGCAAACTAGAGATGATCTAAAAAATAACCGGTCTGGCGCGAATTAAACTCACACACCAAGGGTTCTGTACGTAAATATATATGACATAATAAAAAGAATTTATTGCATTTGTAATAAGAAATAGATATCTATTAGTTATTATTGAAACTACAATTTGTAATTTCATATTTTAGACCATAATTATGGTTAAAAATTGGATCGCATAACTAAGTTTGTCTTTGAAAGGTTTTTGATAGTTTCTTAAAAACGACGATAGTTAGAAATATCGTTTTATTTTTTTGTAATAATCACATATGCTTTATAAATGTCAATTATTTAAAATTTTTCGCTTTAACAACTTCGGAGAAAAGGGAATGGTTTTTTCTTACATTTTCAATCAAAACTAAAAAACTTAGTAGCATAAAAATAAATAAAAATCAGTTTTAAAATATACAAATGAAGTCCCTTCATATGATATCCCATTTGGACTAGTAAATCAATTTTGAAATTTTGAGTATCCGTTTTGGAGCAAGCAAGGAAATTATTTTTTTTTTTTATTTATTTCCATTGCAGTATGTGCAGGCCAATAACAAGTCGAACTATTTCAAATGTCCAATCGAGTGCATTAGTAATTGCTAAGATATAACGTTGTGACAGATGGATGGACTAATGAATGCACAAAGTCGCACCAAGGGTTCCTTTGTAACTTTTTGGTACGGAACCGTAAAAAGAAGTCACACAAACTCGACAATGTGCCTAGCAATTTTTAGAGGAGATATAAATCTCTTTCATTAACATATATAACTTAAGTTAGATTCAGTAGTGAACATTGAATGATCGAAACTATAAGGTATGATAAAAACAACGCCTTCGTTAGCATTCGATATTGCTATCGACTCTCTGCCACTACTCTGTACTAAAGCAAAAATCGTCAAATTGCCAAATAATTTTGACGATCACAAAATAATTTTTATACATTCATACTTATTACTCAGAACCAGTGCAACAATTAAACATTGTCATTAATTAAATTAAACATACTTAATACTAAATCGATTCCACTATAAAATTATAAAAATAAATAGTACATAATTCTGTCACAGACTATTTCCACCATTATACGTGAAAAACTCAAAACATACTAGTAGTTACATACTTTGTTCTTTCAGACTTATTACAGTAAATTCCTCGCTTCGCTAAGAGGCCTTCTGGGCTTCACGAAGGATACACTGGTTTAATTAGTGACACACATTCGAAAAACAAAGATTCCCTGTCACTGTCCGTCATGATAAGTATTCTCAGTACGCCGACTTCACATCATAGTGAAAAAACAGAATGTTGATAATCTAAGGATAATAAAATAATGCTTTAAACATACAAAATGTTTTACATGGTTTAAAATCATGCGTATTAATAATATAAGTTAAAAATATAACTCCAGGATAAAAATATAGCTACAGTAAAACGCGTTTAAATCTTTTATTTTGATAGTTGAGGAAGTCATACTTTCCATATATAATACAATTATTATGACGTAATCAGTTCTGTTTGCGTCAATATTTTTTATTATTAAATATTTTTTATTTATAAATTAGACATTACTATATAATAACAAATTTATATAGAAAATTTATATTTCTATTTTTAGACTACTGCCCTTATATATAGTTCTTATATACTACGTATGCTAGTATTATTTAAGCAAGTAATTTTTAATTACAATTATAAAATTACATAGGTTCTTATAGCTTCCACCGGTTTGGTTTGTCACTGTCCATGTTAAGTTATTATTCAGTAGGTAGTTACAAGTGTCTCGACCGAATGATTAATTACCCAAAAAAAATTTGTTTATCAAATATTTTTTGGTTCACTACATTACGATCCTACTAAATTATAATTT